TGATTGCTATAGCCACCCATCTCAACATTGGGTGTTGACATTGGGTAGTGAACATTATAAAACATAAAATCAATTTAAAGCAATTACAAAGAAAATATATATGGCACTAAATAAAACTGTTACTATGGATGGTAATACACCCAGGAAACAAATCCCTTAACACACTTGGGGCCCTAGACAGATAATAATAATAATAATAATAATAATAATAATAATAATAATAACAACAGATCTTTTTCTTTTTCTTTTGCTTTTAGTTCTGTTTGAGTCCAGTCCACTATTCCAGCTGTGTACCTAATAACTGGGATTGCCCAGGTGTTGATTGCCTTTATGGTATTTCCTCCATTGAGTTTGGATTTTAAGATCTTCTTCGCTCTCTTGATGTATTCACCTCTAATCTTTTTCTTGACTTCAGTGTGCTTGATGTTGTCAGGTCCTGGGTAAGGACTCGATAGGTAGACAAAATGCCAAATCCAGTCTGAACATCTGGCTGACTGTGCGATGATCCATAATAACAGATGAAAGAAAAGAAGCTGAAGAACAAGAAGACCAAAGAATACCTAATCAAGAAATACCACTTAGAAACAAGGAAGATCAAGGAAGCACTGGAAATAATAAAGCAACAAATAACAGCTATAGCCAGGAAAATCAGTAGATATGAAGCTCGAATTGCAAACTATAGGCAGAACCTCCAATTTCAATCCAATCAGAAACGTTTCTACCAATCCATCAATGGAGAAACTGCAAGGAATCAGTCAGTACCTGACAAGGAAGAAACAGTGCAGTTCTGGAAGCAGATATGGGATAACCCAAAGAAATACAACAAGGATGCGGCTTGGTTAAAAGAGGTGGATGCAAATAAAACAGAAGTTGAAATGAAAGAACTAGTAATAACAACAAAAATGGTAGAAAAAAGAGCAAAGAAAATCAAAAATTGGTCAGCACCAGGTGAAGATGAACTGCATGGGTTTTGGTTGAAACATCTAACTGTTATACACCCACTCATTGCCAAGCAGTTCAACAATATACTACAAGGAGGAGAAATTGAAAAGTGGCTAACAACTGGGAAAACCTACCTAATAATGAAAAATCCAGCAAAAGGGGCAACACCAGGTAACTACAGGCCAATTACCTGCTTACCAACAACTTTCAAATTACTAACTGGTGTGGTAGCTGATGCAGTACAACAGCATCTAGTTGAAAACAATCTCTTTCCACCTGAGCAGAAAGGAAACCGCCCCAATAGCAGAGGAACAAAAGATCAACTCCTAATAGACAAAATGATCTTGGAAAACTGCAAGAGAAGGAAGACCAACCTGAATGTGGCATGGATTGACTACAAAAAGGCATTTGACTCTCTGCCACATGATTGGATAATAAAGTGCCTAGAAATAACAGGAGTCAGTAGAAACATCAGAAAATTTGTGCAAAGATCGATGGCACAATGGAAGACACAGTTGCAGATCAATGGTGAGAGGCTGGGAGAGGTTAATATCAAGAGAGGAATATTTCAAGGAGATTCATTATCACCATTACTATTTGTTATTGCACTGTTTCCTCTGTCAACAATACTGAATAACTCAGGACATGGCTATCAAACATCAAAAACATCTGCCAGACTATCCCACCTCCTTTATATGGATGATCTGAAGCTGTATGGAAAAACATCATCTGAAATAGAATCGCTGCTCAACACTGTCCGTATATATAGCCAAGATATTGTAATGGAGTTTGGCTTGGACAAATGTGCCACACTTACTATCAAACAAGGAAAAATAATGAAAACTGAAGGAATCAAGATGCCCCACGAAAATAACATTAAGAGTCTGGATGAGGAAGAGTACTACAAATACTTGGGTATCCTTCAAGCTGACAACATCAAGCACACTGAAGTCAAGAAAAAGATTAGAGGTGAATACATCAAGAGAGTGAAGAAGATCTTAAAATCCAAACTCAATGGAGGAAATACCATAAAGGCAATCAACACCTGGGCAATCCCAGTCATTAGGTACACAGCTGGAATAGTGGACTGGACTCAAGCAGAACTAAAAGCAATGGATAGGCAGACCAGAAAAATAATGACAATGAATCATGCCCTTCATCCACGCAGTGACATTGATAGACTTTATCTACCAAGGCAAATAGGTGGGCGTGGAATGCTACAAGTACATCAGATGGTTGAAGAAGAAAAAATGGCTTTGGAAGAATATCTGAAGAACAATGATGAAGATGCACTGAAATTAGTATATCAGGAAGGCTTACTAACTACTGGAGAGACCAAACTGGCCTACAAGAAAGACCAAATGAAGAACAGAATAGAGGCATGGGAAGACAAAGCACTACATGGCCAATACATGAAAAAAATAGCTGGGAAAGCAGATAATAATAAAACCTGGCAATGGCTAAGAGCAGGAAAATTGAAGAAAGAGACCGAGGGACTAATTCTGGCTGCACAAGACCAAGCCTTAAGGACAAATGCATACAAAGTCAAAATTGAGAAGACAGCAACAGACAGTAAGTGCCGCCTATGCAAAGAAGCTGAAGAAACAGTGGACCACTTGGTAAGCTGTTGCAAGAAGATTGCACAGATTACAAGCAGCGGCATGACAAAGTAGCAACAATGGTGCATTGGAAGATCTGCAAAAAATATCATTTGCCTGTAAGCAAAAACTGGTGGGATCATAAAATAGAGAAAGTCATAGAAAATGATAAAATTAAACTGCTCTGGGACTTCAGAATTCAAACAGACAAGCACCTGCAACATAACACCCCAGACTTAACAATTGTCGATAAGAAAGACAAAAAAGTCTGGATAGTGGACGTGGCAGTGCCTGGAGATAGCAGAATAGAAGAGAAAGAACTGGAGAAGATAACAAAATACAAAGACCTACAAATAGAAATAGAAAGACTGTGGCAAAAGCAAGCAAGGGTAGTACCAATAGTCATAGGCTCCTTGGGTGCAATCCCAAAACAACTGGAGCACCACTTGAACACCATTGGCATTGACAAATTCGCTATTAGTCAATTGCAAAAGGCGGCCTTATTAGGAACTGCTTCCATCCTGCGACGATATCTGTAATACCATCAAACATCCACATCTGCCTATCCCAGGTCCTGGGTAAGGACTCGATAGGTAGACAAAATGCCAAATCCAGTCTGAACATCTGGCTGACTGTGCGATGATCGATAATAATAATAATAATAGTAATAATAATAATAATAGAGAAAGTCATAGAAAATGATAAAATTAAACTGCTCTGGGACTTTCAGAATTCAAACAGACAAGCACCTGCAACATAACACCCCAGACTTAACAATTGTCGATAAGAAAGACAAAAAAGTCTGGATAGTGGACGTGGCAGTGCCTGGAGATAGCAGAATAGAAGAGAAAGAACTGGAGAAGATAACAAAATACAAAGACCTACAAATAGAAATAGAAAGACTGTGGCAAAAGCAAGCAAGGGTAGTACCAATAGTCATAGGCTCCTTGGGTGCAATCCCAAAACAACTGGAGCACCACTTGAACACCATTGGCATTGACAAATTCGCTATTAGTCAATTGCAAAAGGCGGCCTTATAGGAACTGCTTCCATCCTGCGACGATATCTGTAATACCATCAAACATCCACATCTGCCTATCCCAGGTCCTGGGTAAGGACTCGATAGGTAGACAAAATGCCAAATCCAGTCTGAACATCTGGCTGACTGTGCGATGATCAATAATAATAATGATGATGATGATGATGATAAAGTTGGAAGGGACCTTGGAGGTCATCTAGTCCAACCCCCTGCTCAGGCAGGAAACCCTATACCATTTTGGACAAATGGCTGTCCAGTTCTTCTTAAAAACTTCCAGTGTTGGAGCATTCACCGCTTCTGGAGGCAGGTTGTTCCACTGTCAGTTTCTCCTTAGTTCTAGGTTGCTTCTCTCCTTGATTAGTTTCCATCCGTTGCTTCTTGTCCTGCCTTCAGGTGCTTTGGAGAATAGCTTGACTCCCTCTTCTTTGTGGCAGCCCCTGAGATATTGGAACACTGTTATCATGTCCCCCCTCCTCCTTCTCTTTGTTAAAGTAACTTGCCCCCAAGCCTTGGAGGGCTTTGAAAATGATAACCAGCTCCTTTGAATTGTACCTGGGAACATCCTGGCAACCAATACAGTTCACAAAAAAATGATGTTGTATATGTCGGATATCTGATACCCTTTACTGCCTGTGCAGCAGTTGAGACTTTCAGATGCTCTTCAAGAGCAGCCCCATGTAGAGTGCATTGCAGTAGCCTGTTGCATATTGGATTTACAAAATTAATATAGTTTAAGAATGGCAGAACTGAAAGAGATGACAGATAGAATCAAACCTGCATATCCAAAATGTTAAAATAATCTGACAACACAATTTAGAAGTTGGAAGTATTTGGAAGAGTTCATTATGAAAATAAAAAGAGAAAAGGAAAAAAAATCTAAGTTAATGATAAATATTAAGACGCCAAAATTAACGCCACCCTCCACTCTTTCTGAATTTAAACTTAATGAAGGAATTAAGGTGGGAAATAATTTTGTTTACTTGGGTTAAAGAACAGATAAAGTGAAGAGGGAATAAATTCTAGGAAGCAGTGACAATCACAAACTTAGGATCATGAAGGATAAGCATATATTTACAACAAGGTAGGTCAAAATGGTTAAATTAATAGTCCAGGGGCAACATAGGACTGTGAAAGGTGGATTCTGAAAATAGCTTTGACTGAGAAAATTCGAATTACGGGTTTGGGTAGGTTGATGGACAGAATGGAAGAGCGACTTGTTACCAAAACGAGGCCAAGGTATTGATATTTGTACACGGAACCGCCAGTAATCGAGCCAACCTGACTGGCATCGAACTAATTTGATAATTACTGAGGTGGAACTTAGAAACGGTTCTTTCTAGTAAGATTTACTCCAGTGTAAAACCGATGTAGCACAACTCTACACAGAAACAACTCTTTCAACCGATAGGAACGGAACTAACCGTTCTCATCCCGATCATTTGACCTTGCTTGCGGCCGACCCTGAAGGAACTTCCAGTAAAACTCTCCACCGCTTGCTCTCAAGTAAGCAAGCGCGCCCAGGAGAACTTGGCCCTCGGAATCTTTTTCTTTTCTTTTTTTTTTCTGCTCCCACCGCATCACCTGCCCCAACCCTTCCGAAGGTCATCTATATTAGTTTGCAGCTTTGTGATTGGATCAATTCTCGGATGTTACGATTGCTTCGACGGATTGCCACTTCTACCCGTTTGCCACTTGATTGGGTCAGGTGTGGTCACGCGCTACAAGTTGCCATGGTGACGTTTGGAGGTGGGCACGTAGGCGGGAGGGAGAGTGGCGTGCGTCTAATTGGCTGGCCCTCCGAGATAGAATCCCTGTGATTCGCCTTATAATTCTTCGCGCCGCGCCTCCTTCAACGAAGTTGGAGCTTATCACGTGAGGAGAGAGGGTACTAAGCTGGTGGGAGCGAAAACGAGCGCGGAGCTATGAAGTACTACGAGGTGAGGGCGGCAGTTGGACTTCGAGGGCATCGCGTGGGCTGATGGGGGGGGGGTCGTGCGGCAGTGGCCTCGGGCTCAACAGTCAGAGGGGAGAATCGGGGACTCGCTCTCTGACCTAAGGGAGGCGGTGGGTACGACGCACGCGTGGGATTCCACCTTGTAGAAAGCGCGAGAGGGAAAGTACGCATGTGTTGTATCTTGAATAAGCATGCGCTGGGAGTTGGAGGGAAAGAAGATGGGCTTTTAATCGAGTGTGAAGTGCGTGTAGCCCTTCTCTGTTTCGTTGGCGTGCTCTTTGCTTCTGCAGGAAAGTGGCCTCTTCAGCCTCGCAGGCTGCTTCCACTACTTTATAAAGGAAGGCTCCAAAAATCCTACATCCGTTGTTGGTCTTTTGGAGTATTCTCTTTCTCTAGGTGCGATAACTTGATCTTTCTTTGTACTGATCGCAGCTCTGCCTTTTTCTTGAGGACTATGTAGAACAGATCATTGTATCTGATTGTGCTTCTTTCCAAAGAGATTCTGAATTTTCTTTGGGGAAAAGTAGGGCTCCAAATCAGATGGTTTTCAGACTTCTTCAGATTGTGGAACCTGTTCGTTAAAGAAAAATAAAGACCTTTGACCAAGAGGCAAAGCTTCATTTGATAGAAAAATTGGCTGTGTCCAAGTCAACCCTTCTTTTTTGCCTCAGGCTGTCATGGAACACCATCAAGTTCTTGAAAAACCTAGTCCATATTGCGTTCAGATTGACATGGAAACAGTGCCTTTCTGCATATATTCTTTGATGTGTCTTTACATTTTCCAAAACACAAAAATGATATTTCTGGAGGGTCATGTTCAATGAATGGTAGTAGTGTCAAATTGAGTTGCCACATTTGTTGTTCAGTCACTAAGTCACGTCCACCCCTTCACAACACCATGGATCATAGCACTCCAGGCCCTCCTCCCTAGTCTCCAAGAATTAGCCCAAATTCACATTTGTTGCATCTGTTACATTATCTAACCATCTCATCCTCTGCCATCCTCTTTCCTTTTGCCTTCAATCTTTCCTAACTTACCCATCTTTAGAAATCTTAATTTTAAAATAATTTATTATTTTGTGTGTGCATGTTTCTATACATACTATACTTTCAGTATATAGGTTCCTTTTTTTTAAATCTCCAAATCTTTTTGCTCTTTCTTTAATAGACTTCTTGTCTTTTCTGTTGCTTTTGGCATGATTACTTAAGAGAACCTAAAAGTGATTGTGCAAGACAGCTTTGATATGTTAATGTTTTAGCTTGCTCAGTTAAACAGGTATTGCAAACTTTACTATTAATTTATTTTTGTACAAAGTTAATTATGTGTTACATTGCTTTTTTTAAGACAAGTAACTGTTACATTGGGTTATATAGGTTTAAGATGTAGCCTGGGTGACCCAATTACTAATAATTATAGGTGAGAGAATAGAATGTTACAGCATACTATTGATTGCTACAATTTTTTGTTCATGATTGCTCTTTTATCTTGAAAATTGATGCATGATAGTGTACTTGAAGAACATGTTACAGAACCTTCATATTTGTTTGCAGTCAGCTTCCAACACTGAGAAAGAAACAGATACACATCTTAAAAACATAATCAGCACTTGTGTATTAGTAATATTATCTCCCAAGTGCCACAGGGCTCTTATAGCAACTTTAAATTAACACAACTTTCTTTAATCTTGATTAGTTTTTTCTCAGAGCAGATATTTATTTTTTTCTGGTAGATTATGCTGAAACCCCCCCCCCAATTCTCCATTTACTGAACATATGCTAATTTATGAAAGTAGAATAGGGGAGCTTTGTAAAAGGCTTTTGTATTTCATTGAAGATCTTCTCTTAGTTGATATAATAGACTTAAGTTCTTGTGCTACATCTAATTACTAAGTGTGTAATAACTGCAACTGATGTCCTTGTTGGATCTTTAGTGATCCACTTTATATCCCAGCTGAATATATCCCAAACTGCACACTAGCCTTTCTGTGTTCTACAAAACACAGATGTATGTAGAAATTAAATACTACTTAGCTAAGAAAATATCAGTATAGAATGCAAAGTAAGTCTGAATTATAACATTCATGTTCAATGGTTGTCTCTATTGTTTTAATACTATGACCAGTTCCCGTCTAGGAAGCTTCTGCCCTGGACACAGTTGTATGGTTTAAAATTTATTTAGGTGTTTGGAATGTTTTTAAAGAGCAAAAGATTCTTGTATGGATTATGTCAATATTTTTCTTTTCTCAAGAACACTTTGTAACTTTTAAATGTTGTTTGCAATACAACCTTTGCACATTTGCCTTACAATGTGGAGATGATCTGGACAGCTCAGTATATTTTTCCAGCCTTGAGGTCAAGAGTAGCCTTTGCACCTGTCTTGTAAATGGATATATGCTTAGCAGTGCAACAGTACTAAGATTGGCTCTTTGCATTGCCTGCTCAGCTCAGCAGTTTTTCAAATGGCCCTGTCTGAATACTGAGCAGTTGAGTATTTAATATCTCTTCCACAATACCCCGAGCTGATAGAAAATAAGAACTTTTCCCCATAATCAACTGGCAATATTGGTTATTTGCTGACAGTTTGTAGTTTTTTCTTTCATTAATTGCCTGATTTTAACCTTCATGCCCAAACCAGGCTCTTACAGCCACATGCTCTCCAAGTAGCCATGTGAGACCTTTGATGACATACAAATCTGGAGGGTATTTAGTTGGGAGAGACTCTCCTAGGAGAATATTATTTCTCCAGATATAACCATTTGCTAAGAAGACAAAGATTAAAGAAATAGGCCATCTAGAGCAGGGCTTTTCAACCTTTTCACAGATTGTACCACTTTTAGGATATGGCAATATTCGAGTACCACCAGTCACCTAGCAAGGTGTCAAAAACTTGATGAGCGAAAAAAACATGATAAGGTACAGGTAGTCCTTGACTTACAACAGTTTGCTTAGTGACTGTTACAACAGCACTGAAAAAAGTGACTTATGACCATTTTTCACATTTATGACTGTTGCAGCATCTGCCAGGGTCACATAATTTACATTTGGATGCTTGGCAACTGATTCATATTTAAGATGGTCACAATGTTTCAGGGTCAAGTGATCCCCCTTTGCAACCTTCTGACAAGCAAAGTCAATGGGGAAACCAGATTCACTTAACTGTGTTACTAATTTAACAACTGCAGTGATTCACTTAACAAATGTGGCAAGAAAAGTCGTAAAATGGGACGAAATTCATTTAACAAACTTCTCACTTAGCAGCATAAAATTTGGATTCAATTGTTGTAGGTTGAGGACTATCTGTATACCCACTTACCACACTTTTAATGGGAAACTTGTGCCTGTTTCTCTGACATTAATCTTTGCACTGTTCTATCCCCTTCTCTCCCTCTGCTTGTCTCAAAGAAGCTTCTCTTCTCCGTCTCTCTTTCTCCGCCCCCTTCTGTTTCTCCGTCGTCTTTTTTTCTTTCCCTTTCCCACCAAAACCTCCTTTTATATCCTCTCCTTTCCTCCTGTTCTCCTTTTCTCCAGCTGACTCCTCTCCCCCAGGCTGCTGGCTGCTCTGTCTCTCTTTCTCTATCCCCTTCTCTTCCCCCTCCCCTGTTGTTTTTTTTTTCTTTTCACCCTTCTAATCTAGGATAAAACCCTGATGACATAAGATAAGGGTATATTTTTCTATTCTTTTCAAACCCTTCAAACAACCCTGTGTTTAATACAGTTCTGTTGAGTTTCCCTGGTTTGAATAATTTAAGTAAAAGAGGTAATTATCTACTACAGTGGTGTGCATTTTGTCAGCAAACAGTATATCTCATGTGTAAGCCAACTGAAAATTGCTTTGCAGAGCAACTGTAGGCCTTTTAGTTGTTGAAGTTTTATTGTACACCAGAGGGTGCTGTTAGCTTAACTTTGGAGAATGTGCCTTTCAAATAAGATCTCCAGTGTTTTCCTGGGGTTTTTTTTTTCCTCCCCTAAATGCAAACTGATATTTAGCAGAAAAACCAAACACCACTCCAGCCTAACATAGGATCTATTCCTATTGCTGAAAAATTAACCCATGGATCAGTAGAAAACTATTCCAGGATGAGATCTTTTGCCTTCATTGCCTATCTGTATTCTAAATCTATTGGATCTGTTTTGCTTCACTGATCAGTATAGGTATCCTGCAAGTATGTTAATAAAATGATTGTTTCTTCTGGCTTAGTTTCCCTTTCCCCCTCCTAATATCATTAGCTGGTAGAAAACATTTCCAAATTATTAAAGTGATCCAGGAATTATCTGGGACTAGCAACTATGAACTTCTGCACCCTTCCTCTTATTAAAGACTAAGCACTAGGAAGTGAAAAGGATCATGAAGGAGCTCACATGCACATACAGTGATCTGTGAATGAACACAAATGATGATTCCCCCTAGTTTTGAAGAACTGAAGAGGGAGCTGTAGTGCTTCTGGGCAACAATGCAAGCAAACATTATACAGCATCAACACTATGTCAGCCTTTTGTAGGTAGCAAAAAAAATTATGTAAATGCTAACATCCACTGTGGTGCTTCCTTCAATCTCCTTCAAAAAAGATCAAGCAGGAGAAAGCTCCCCACCTGTATGCAGAAGTTGAAAAGTATCTTCCATGCTTCTGGAATGTTTATAATCTGAGACAAACAAAACAGCAGTAGAAGACACAAGCTAGGAATTGAAGGGAGAATTGTCCATATTGGCTTAAAATAAGTAATAATACTTAATTTTTATCACTCATGATGGAATGGGCAGTGAAACATGTCAGATTTTATATGTCTTGCAACTTGTTATTCGTAGCTTAAAGACAGGAACACTAATACTGTTCCAATAAAACAAAAGGAGACATAAGTTTATCTCACTTTGTGGACTCAGTCAGCAAATGTTACCCATGTAAAATGATGTTTATATAAGAGATAAAGGGCAAATGGAGAAAGGCTTGAAATCTGTATCCCTGTACTGTTAATAGGAACTAGTGTTATGCTGTAGTCTGTCCTATTTTAAGTTTTATAATAATATGGATTTTCATTTGTTAAAATACAGGTTTCCCTTGTTATGCTGTATTTGTTGTTTACTAAACTATAATGTGACTTGTTGGATTTTGATTTAGTCTGTTATATGAATCTAGATATTGTGGCTTATTCCAATAACTGTTATAGGATTAAAACGTTCAGAATGATATAAGACTCCAACAGTTGGATTTTGCAACACTTGGTTTCAAAGGCAAAAAGACATTTCAGACCGCTTGGATGTTCATGCAGCACCTTCTGTAAGTCCTTAAACTAGGGGTCTTCAAACTTGGCCCTTTTATGACTTGTGGACTTCAACTCCCAGAATTCCTCAGCCAGGCATGCTGCCTGAGGAATTCTGGGAGTTGAAGTCCACATGTCATAAAAGGGCCAAGTTTGAAGACCCCTGCCTTAAGCCAAGCACATCTTTTCACTGCTGGTGAAAAGCAGCTTTGTGATCTCAAGAAATAATGCAGTTATTTTAATGACTTGCAGATAGGTGTTACATGGCTATTCCCATCTTCTCCAAAACACACTCCACTGCTCCCTCTGCTTCCCCTCCCCCCCGTTACTGATGTCAGGCTGTCAGCTTGTGATGCATAGGTTAACAAAATGGCAGCCATGACATTTGTCATCCCCCAAGTTAACAAGAACCACACTAGATATTGGAGTTCCTGGACATATGGTGACAAATGAGCTACAAGACTGAGGACTGTTGGCTGAGCAACCAGAACTTGCAGCTGCAGGATTATTGGAAGAAAGGTTATTTAGCTGTAACAGGTATACAAAGACTGAAAACAAAATAATAATCATCATTATCATCTTCATCATCATCTGCTATTATAAATAAAATCCAATATGAAGATGATGTTCATTACCTTGAATTATTGTAAAAATATTAGAGGGAGGGAGGGAAGGAAGGAAGGAAGAAAGGAAGGAAGGGGAAAGGAAAGATAAAAAAGATAAAAGAATGTATCAATTCTGGAAAGAGCAACATCTACAATCAGAAATAGCAGAAGCTAGCATATCAACATCAATTTATAATGTGAAATAAAAATATTTACAGAAGCAGAATTGAAAGAACTGCAAAGGTCTACACAGGGCAAACAAATTAAAATCTTGCTAGAAGTAGCTCAGACTGTAGAGGCAAACCAGGGGGAGTTGGTAGCAGAGGAAGCTAGCATAGCTATTGAATCGTTTTCATTCCCAAACCTCGCACCCTCTCCTCTGCTTTTGCCTCAGAAAGACCAAAGCCCTTTTAACCAAAAATAAATAAAATAAGAGGAATTGAAACGAAGAATGCTTGAGCATCTAGAACAGCACAAAAAGATCAGAATAAGGTTGTTTGCATTGACATTTGTTCCAAAGAAAGAGTTAAGCTATTCAAAGTTGACAATATTGTGATATCAAATATAAGCAAAAGCTCACTGTAAGAAACAAACTAATTAATGTCTAGCCTGACTGTAGTTATAACTGAATACCCTGAATGCAAAATCAACAAAGAAAAAAAGCTAAACAGTGCACCACCAAAATGGAAGAAGATTGGTTGAAAAATATGCATGCAAAGATCAGATGTGAGGAAGTTAGAGTAGATGACAGAAAAAAAGCTGAAGAACAAGCAAACCAAAGAATACCTGATAAAGAAATGTCACCTAGAAACAAGTAAGCAAGAAACCACTAGAAATAATAAAGCAGCAAGTAACACCTACAGCCAAGAAGATCAACAGATAGGAAGCTAAACGTGCACACTATAGACAGAATCTCCAATTTCGCTCAAATCAGAAACATCAGTGCATCAACGGAGGGATTGCAACCAATCAATACCTGGCAAAGGAGAACAATGTAGTTCTGGCACAACTATGAGACAACTCAAAAAAATACAACAAGAATGTAGCCTGGATAAAGGAGGTGGATAAGATTTTTTTTTTAAAAAAAAGAAAGAAAGCAGAAATGGTTCAGAATAGGGCAAGGAAGATCAAGAATTAGTCAGCTCTAAGGGAAGATGATCTGCATGTTTTTTTGTTGAAACATCTGACTCGCCTCTACCCATTACAGGTAATCCTCAAGTTACGAATGTAATGGAGACTACCAATTACATTCGTAACCTGAGGATTCGTAGGAGTGAATCATGTAACTTGAACGTGATTACTCCCTGCTTTCACCCCCACATTTGTTAATCGAAATAAATGCACGAGGTATCTCAGGGTGGGGAAGGCCAGGGGGGACTAGTGCTTCTGACCACCCAAGGCCTCCCCTGAACCACTGAGATATCTCATGCTTCCCCCTCCACTCCATCCTGCCCGACCGGGTGACTTACCTTACATAGATCTCAATGATCAAGGGAGCGGTTTCCTCTCCAGCCTCTGTGCTGTAGTTTCACCTTGAACAAAGGCTTACCAAGGCCTGCAGGTACTGTGTCCCTATAGGCTCCAGTCATCTTTGCAAAAAGCCCTTGCCACCAAGAACGGAGGCTGGGAGGGGAGTGCGTGTCCTCCAGGCCTAATTGGAGGCCCAGAGGGATGACTACCATGGTGCGACATTCGTAACTTTGGGACTGTCGTGAGTACCTGGGGGAGATTTATGTCATAATTTTGAATGGTCGCTAAATGAACTGTCGTAACTCAAGGATTACCTGTAATTGCCAAGCAGTTTTAACAATATATTGCAAGGAGGTCAAATTGAAGATTGGTTAACATTTGGCAAAACATACTAATAATGAAAGATCCAGCAAAAGATGAAGCACCAGGAAACTACAGGCCAATTACCTGTTTACCAACAATGTTCAAATTGCTAACTGGTGTGGTAGTTGATGCAGTCCAACAGCATTTAATTGAAAACAAGTTTTTTTTTTCACCTGAGCAGAAAGGAAAACTGCCCAAACAGCAGAAGAACAAAAAATTAGTTCCTAATGGACAAGATGATTTTGAAAAACTGCAAGAGAAGGGAAACCAACTTGAATGTAGCTTGGATTAATTACAAAAAGAGATTCAACTCCCTGCCACGTGACTGGAGAGTCAAGTGCCTGGAAATAACAAGAGTCAGTAGAAAATAGAGCGTTCAGAAACTTCCCACTGGTGCAGAATGCGGCTGCACAAGTAGTAAATGTTGCCAAGTGCACCAGCTGAAGTTTCTGAATGCTCTTCACGGGCAGCTCCATCTAGAGTTTGTTGCAGTAATCTAAACGAGAGGTTACAAGGGCAGGTGAAGTTAAGCAGACTCTCCTGGACCAGGAATGAATGCAGTTGGCCCAACATCAAAAGATGGGCAAAGGGTCTCCTTGCCATGACTTCCAGCTGCTCTTTGAGCAGGAGTCATAAGACTAGGACTCTAGGAGGACCCCCAAATTGTGCATCAGGTCTGTCTGGGATAATGCAACTGCATCCAGAACTAAAAATGGAAGAGTCTTGTCTCTGCAGTGTCCAAATACCCATAGCCACTCAATCTTGCTAGGGTTGAGTTGGAGCCCATTTTGCTCCATGGCATCACTCAAGGGGCCTAGGGTGAACATCCAAAGCTGGGTATTATCTGTATATTGATGATATCTGACCCCAAACCAACAGATCGCCTAATCCAGTGGCTTCATTAAAAGTTAAATAGAAGGTGAGAGAACTGAACCCTGAGGTATCCCACAAAGTGGGGGTTGTAGGCTGGGTCTCTCTCCCTCTGTCAACACTGACTGGAACTGACCCCAAAGCAAAGATAGTACCAATAGTAATAGGTGTCCTGTGTACAATCCCAAAACATCTGGAGCACCATTTGAATGGCATCGGCATTGACAGAATCACCACCAGTCAATTGCAAAAGACAACTTTACCCAGAACAGCTTACATCCTGTGACAATACCTTTATATCATCTAACAGTAGCTTCTGCCTATCCCAGGTCTTTGGGAAGGACTTGATAGGTGAATTAAAATGCCAAATCTATTCTAAACATCTTGCTGGTTGTGCAACCAATCCTAATAATATGTTGAACTACTCTGTTGCCATATTTCTTTAGTCAGCTTATAGATTATTTATCTTTGCTGTCACTATAATGACCGAACGGCAATTACCATCTTGCTACATCTCAAAGATGCTTCATTGCGCTAATCAGAAAGGTGTCAAATGTTTTTCAAAGAGCCTCTTGGCACCTGCCCCACTACTGTGCCTTTTATAAATTGGAAGGTCACGTCTAACTTATTTTCACATCTTCACTCTTACTGAAGGGTGTTGAAATTGTCCAGACTTCTGCCAACTATCTTTTCCTAACTATTCCAAGAACGCTAGAGCTATGATAAAGTGCACATTTCTTTTTATTTTTTACATTGTAATTTGAGAATTTTTTTAGCCACCTTGGTTTCCAAAGTAAAACTGCCCAAGGAATTTTGCTAGGAGGCCTGAGTTTTGATTTAGCTACTGACTGTAGATTGCGTATCTTGAAGAACTGATGTCAGTTATGGAATGAAACTATTAAGTAATGAAATTTTCTTTTATGACAAACTTCTTAACGGTTGTGTCTTTGGGAATGTGTTAGTGGAGAGAAATAGCAGGGAATCAGTCTGACACAAGTTTGAGTTGTTAATATTTTCAATCAGTGGGGAATTAAGAGATACTGTTACCACATTCTTGCACTGTCTTCAGTTGCATCTGAGGGGGGGGGGAACAAAACCATAATTTCCTTTCTGATGCTCTTCATACTGATCTTAGGCAACTGCACATGCACATGTGGTAGCCATAGCCAGCATAAGCTCTCTGCCCCCTCCCCCCATCTCCAGCTGCTGCTTCTGTGCTGTATTCAAATAAAGACTTAAGAACAAACCAGACTGGATGGTTTATAGCTATATTACTTACAGACACAAAGATTCTGGGTATGCCTGCTGCTTATGTCTGCTTGTCCAATTTCATCTTGAATTTTTAAAAGCACTAGCCATAGGACTACGGAACTGGATCCAGCTTTTGATTTTCCATAAAACTTTATATGCAGTTTTCTTTCTTCCAGTAGATTGGGTGTGCGATGACCAGTAGCCACTTTGTCATGCATATGTTTAATCTGTCCCAGAGACAGACATAGTAGATTATACACATTTAATAAGTTTTTAGTTATCTGCACAAGCCTACACTAAGTACAACAGATTTATTTACTTTTGCAGTATATTTGTCTTTTTGTAAATAAAGCCCGTTAAATTTATACAGAAACTACAGTTAATTAGAGCAACAATTGAAATAGTCATAGAAATAACACATAAATGCAGCTTGACAAAGAAACCTCTGAAATTTAAAAGCCCTTGTGAACTCAAAAACTCAAAGGTATTTGCAGGAATTAAAAAAATAACAGAGTTGACACAAGGCAGCATTTTTAGATAGTATAAATGCTATACTATACATAGCAAGCTATTCTTTGGAAAATTTAAATTTATCCCACTGAACAGCAGCATTCTAGAGAATCTGAAAGAAAGGTTTTGATAATTTTTGTGATTAGATGGGCATATATTGGAAGAGTCATGCCTTGAAATGTCATGTCTATGAACCTGTCTTAGGAGTCAGGTCTCCCTAAAGAGATGTAGAGAGTTATTAATGCGTATAAGAAAGTAGAATTAATATTTAAACTGTGCGCTTGAATTTTGTAAGCTATTACAAAGTTAGCTATTTAAATTTATTTCAACATTTGAGTATAGATTGGACGTGCCAATTGGGAACATTTTGTCTTTGAGAGTATTTCTGTGCGCTGAAGTACAGGTTTATTTAATCCTTAATCTCTGTGGTCAAACTTGGCAAATTGGACACCTGAAAATTCAGTTCATCCATGAAAGGAATGTTACATTCAAATGAACATTCATTATGAATAACCTTCTAGAAAGTTTTCAGTGTTGAATTGTAAGTGACATCAATCTTAGCTGAGGCTACATAGTGGGAAAACGGCCCTACCTATGTGCTGTATGCCTCTTTGCATTTTTATATTTTATTTTCACTTCAATGCTTAGCCAAGCAACTTGTTAAGAATGATGTGTGGGTGGATATCTCAACAAACACCACCCTTATTTGTAAGATTTCTTGTGTAAAATGTGTGCTATAGTATATGCAGGTCTGATTAGGATAAGCAATTCACATGTTGATCTCTATATTCCACTAGCTTCCCTCACCCTTCACCCCAACAACACTTACTTACCTGGGCTTCTTGCTTTTTTTGTATTGTTGCTTCTGTCTGGATTAGTACTTCTTCTTACTTTCATGGTGATTTTTTAATTTTTCCCACAGACTTACTGAGAGGCTTCAGTTGGAAGCTGCTTTATTTTCAATATATTCTAAAGTTTCTTGCATTTCTCTGGCATCCAGTTGTTTTTCTAAGGCTTTACTCTCTCCCTTAGTAGATCATATTATCTTCAATTCTTGCTGCGCAACTGATTGTAGTTTACAATAGTTTAATTTGGTCAGCATGATCTATGTGTTGCTTTCCACTGGAATAAATTCTTTGTTCTAGAAGCTCTGAGGTATGAGAGTGACCATTCCTCTCTGAGGCTTAGTTCTATTAATACCCCTGTTTGGAGCTAGTCCTTGGTATCTGTTGGACATGCTGAACAGACTCCAAATGTTTGTCCCATTCAAGTCAGTTTTTAATTTCAAAGAGCTAAGCTCTTATATAAATAAGAGAAAAAGGAGATTATGTTTCTGTCTTTTGGGAGGAGTGACGGCTACATTTATTTAATATAAGAAAAGCTTTGTAAAGTTAAGTATAATAGTATGATTAATCTAATTCAAGATCTTGTCATTCTTAGTAACCTTATTCTGAAAGCATAGACTATTAAGAGACAAACATTAGCGAACGTTTGAGGTAGTCCTTGGCTTACCAAAATTTTGGTTGGGTTAAGTCGGGTAGGCACCCTTGGCTCTTTTATGACTTCTGGACTTCAACTCCCAGAATTCCTGAGCCAGCATGGCTGGCTCAGGAATTCTGGGAGTTGAAGTCCATGAGTCATAAAAGAGCCAAGGTTGCCTACCCCTGGGTTAAGTGAATTACTGGAGTTGTTAAGTGAGTTTTGCCCCATTTTACAATGTTTTTGCTACAGTTAAGTGAATCTGGCTTCCCCATTTTCTTTGCTTTGCAGAAGGTTGCAGAAGGTGATTACATGACCAACTGTCATAAATACATTCCAGTTGCCAAGCATCCAGATTTTGATCACGTGACCATCATGTGAAAAACAGTCATGTCACTTTTTTTCAGTGCCTTCACTGAAAAATAGTCACTAAATGAATGGTTCATTTAATTTCAAACAGTCACTAAATGAATGGTTCTAGGTTGAGGACGACCTGTATTGTGCTTCCAGTTTGATGAACAGCAAGATAATTACAGCTGATTTGCAAAGGACTTGTCACTCATTGGGCTAAAACTGTGTCAAAATAATACAGTAGCTCCTACATGCTTTCACTTTTGCTTGTCCTGTAGGTATTTTAACGTATCAGAGTAGACGATGAATCCTGTTGCTTTACTCACAATAATAAACTAGAGCGTGAAATAAAATAAGAAAACTAATATCAGGTATTGGAATTTAGTATTTTATAATTAAACAGAATATCCCTTTTGTTTGAACAGGGAATGATAGTAAGGCTCACGTTAAACTTAATATCAAACTGCAGATCCCCCTTTTTAAAATTTTCAACGTTTTATTGGATCCTTTTCACTTTTAGAAGAAACATAACCTGACCTAATGAACTTGCTATAAAAAGTTTAAATCCCTCATGACCTTGGTTCTCAAAAATCAAGTTTCCAGAGATCATGTGAGCAATCTTGGACATTTTCAACATATGATGGTGCATACTTAACAGACAGGGAGATAGCTTTTATATTCTTCCATTTATTTTTCTTTGGACTAGGTCAGTGATTCTCAACCTGTGGGTCGGGACCCCATTTGGGGTCGAACGACCATTTCACGGGGGTCGCCAAACAACGCAGTCCGACATTTTTCCCCCTTTTCCTTAGCTGTGCTACTCCCTTTTATTCTATTGGCTTTTGAAAGCCAATAGAATAGACTCTCTTGAATAGAGTCTAATTCTATTGGCTTTCAAAAGCCAATAGGAATTGTCCAGGCTGTCTCTGCCCTGCTGAGCCCGCCAAAAGTCCCATTCTGCAAACGGTGCTGCACCAGTTGAGTAGTCCTCGACTTACAACCGGTTGAATAGTCCTCGACTTACGACCAGTTGGGGGTCGTGGCATTAAAAAGGTTGAGAACCACTGGACTAGGTTCTTTGGTTTCTAAAAAGCCTTTTGGAGTATTTTTGACCTCCAAGATGTCTCAGGGGCTTTTTATATAGCTGGCAACAATGCATCATAGAGAAAAACTTCTTGAACTATGGTATCTCAAATGAGCTAACTTACAGAATGTGTCCAAAATCCTGGACCCATGTTTCCTGTAGAATTGAAATTTGGCAAATTTTATAAAAACATTATGTCATAAAAATCATTATAAAGCATATTATAATATCATACAAAATGTCATAAAATATTTCCTGAAGTCAATTGTTGATGTTTGATTATGATATACAGTGCAATGTGGGCTACTTTCAAGACATATACATTTCTGAATATCTCCCTTTAATAACTTTTCAATTACATTAGAACAGGGGTGTCAAACCCGCAACATCACGTGACATGTCGCGACGTATTGCGACTTCTTTCCCATTGCCGGCAATGGGGTGGGCACAGCTTTGCCATGACGCATCCAGCCCGCGGGCCAGCAGTTTGACACCCCTGCATTAGAAGCTCTGCCATTGTTGAAAGCGTTGAGGAATCTGGTAAGGAAATATCCCTAAAACAATGATATAATTAGTTATTTTTAAACAGCAAACAATCTATAGTTATTGTAAACAAGTTCTAGTCAATGTGTTTTTTCATGTATATTTTCTGCGTTAAGAAATAATTCAAGTTATGTGGATGTTTGATACATCATATTGCAATAGAGAATTGTGAAGAATTTGGCTGTTTTGTTGCAAAAAGATAATCTGTAGTAGATTTCTTTTAAATGTCTTCTATTATTAAGGGTGTTTAAGACAGCCAAGAAACAGATCATTAACATGTAAAGCCACTGTAGACTGATGTCACACAAGCTGACTGCCTTGTTTCTGACCACATCTTAGCAGCCATCTTTTGTATTATATTATATTATATTATATTATATTATATTATATTATATTATATTTATAATATAATATAATATAATATAATATAATATTCATGGCAGCTCCATGTGCCACAGCAAGCATTAAGTAATTTGTCCTAGCATGATACACTTCTCTCCCCATCCCTAAAAATACCTAGGAATTATTGTTGTTTCAATTATTGTGTTACTGTAACAGGAACTCCTGGTCTCCTGGGCAGAGAAAAATTCTAGGCTGTAATATCAATAGAGAGCTGGATAAGATCCTAGAAACTGTTAGTTCTGCCAAGCAGCCCCCCTGTATTAATGTGCAGTTGAAGGGAGAATTTTCTGAGTATCTTTTCCTCCCCAAAAGATGGCTTATGAAATCTGAACATGAATGTGTTGGCATGGTCTCTTTGAATGAAAGATTAACTTTGAAACGAGATGGGTGGCAAATAAATTTCATAATAAATAAAATAAAAATAAAAGGCTTTAACATTTCCTGATCTGACTTAACTCTCCAAGAGGCTGCTTGCAAGAAGTTTTTTTGCTGGGCTCAGTTTTATATTTAGCTGAGAAGGGTAGTGGTTTAGCTACCATGCTATCGACTTACGCCTTGGAACACAACCTACAGAATAGACTAAAAGGGAAGGCCCCTTATTTGCTGAGCTGAATTGCTTGAAAGGCTGAACCTTGAGTATTAATCTCAGCAGGAGCTTTTTTTTTTTTTTTTTTTTTTGAGACTCAAATTTTCACACAGATCAGAAATGATCCATAATTAAATTTTGATCATAGGGAAGGAAGGTTATTGTGAACAAATTTGTTGAAATAAACATACTCTTAGGGATTTGCTGCTTTGTGAAGAGGCATGGATGGGAAATTGTCGTCTATAGAGGGGTGTCCACCTCTTCAAAGAAATATCAATGATTTAGGGCCACGTCATTCTACTAAGAAATCTAAAAGGGGTGTTCTTTTTTTTGAGGTGGAGATCCTGGATGCCAAGAACCGGGAAAAGCTGTGCTTCCTGGATAAGGTAAGAGTTTTAATCTTGGAAGAGGGATGTGAAGCTGAAGTTGGCTTTTTGTCATTGTGGAGCTTTAGAATTGCTTTAGTCTTAAAAAATATAGTATTGTACTTTCATACTGAAAAAGTGAGATATTTACTAAAAACTGCCATAAATCAAAGCTTGAATGAAATATACATGAAGTCAGAACTTCAGTTAGCAAGCGAGGTCTACATATGCAGGACTCGTAGTTAGCAATGTGAGATATTCATGCAAAGAAATTATAGTCAATTGCAAAATATATCAATATTTGCTATCAAAAAGCAAATACGCATGTTGCAAAATTATAAGAAATACTTTTGTTTTGCAGTTGTGTGATATACCATTTAAGTCCAATTTGCTCTATAATCATGGCCACCTATTTCTGATCTGAATGTGTTATTCATTTTTTAGGCTATGTTTGATATCAAACTTTTGTAGGACAGCTCTAGAATTATGAGAACAATAAGCATATGATGTGACACCAGTAGAGTTTTTATTTTTAAAAAAATGCTGATGTGATACTTCTCTATGTGAACCCTAAGTAAGGAACAAAGGCATGAACCTTAACTCCATGGAAATGGATTTGTATTATAAATGAAAAACAGAAATTTAAAGCATTGAAAACAGTTTGTTATCTTCAATCCCACTTTCATTCTTACATAATAATTGCACTATCACTGACAATGATTAACTTACCAGAAAAAATAATTCTTTTGGATCTGCATGTCTGTCACTGTAACTAGACCCATATTCAGATTTTGGATATATTCGAATCCCCAAAATATGGAAGTTGTTTTGGTTTAGAAGATAATGAAACAAAATGCTATAATTGTTTACACATGTATCTGGTTGGCTTGAGGAAACACAAATGAGTGGACTTCAAATTTTTTGTTTGTTTCGAAAAATACAGTCCACAGAACATTTCCTATTGGCCAATTCTTCAATCTTTAAAGATTCAGGACTGTAAGGACTCTTGTATAAAATAGATATTAGTGCATTTTGGCTCAAGAACTAACTCAAAGATCCAGTCCAAAACTATCTGTAGGATAGGTAAATTTTTCAGACACGGGTCTACTGGGTGGAATTTGTCATTGCAAAGAATGATAAATCCCATCCAAAAGTGCTAGCCAATCTGATTAGAGGGAGGATTTTGAACCCTTAATATGGTGACACCTTAGTTACAAATGGCTCTCTGCATTTGCATTATCAGTCCTTTTTCTGAATAAAGTGGATCAGAGAGACATTCTTTCTGAGATATATATTCTTTGGATGAGATAAACTGGGTAGGAAACATGTTTTATGGGGAAGGAAAGGAAAAACAGACATTTGGAGAAGGAGAGCACCAAAGAGGGAAATTCACTTCTTCTTCTTCTTCTTCTTCTTCTTCTTCTTCTTCTTCTTCTTCTTCTTCTTCTTCTTCTTCTTCTTCTTCTTCTTCTTCTTCTTCTTCTTCTTCTTCTTCTTCTTCTTCTTCTTCTTCTTCTTCGTCTTCTTCTTCTTCTTCTTATTCTTCTTCTTCTTCTTCTTCTTCTTCTTCTTCTTCTTCTTCTTCTTCTTCTTCTTCTTCTTATTCTTCTTCTTCTTCTTCTTCTTCTTCTTCTTCTTCTTCTTCTTCTTCTTCTTCTTCTTCTTCTTCTTCTTCTTCTTCTTCTTCTTCTTCTTCTTCTTCTTCTTTTTTTGTTCCAAAGATTTACTAATCGTGGCAGTTCAGTTTTGTGTCAGCACTGGCTGGTAGTAGCGGCTTTCCCTTTTTCATTTTGATTCCTATGGGTATTGTTAATCCTTTCAGACAAATGAGACTCCTGCATTAACTGTTGAAGAAGCAAAGAGACTAAATATAGAGAGGAAACTAGAGTAACTTCCAAATAGCGATAGTTGTCAGCAAAACATAATCCTAGTTTTTTCCATTTTGTTGTATGCCATGTATGGCATTTGGACCCTAGTCTTATGTCCCAGTAACTGATTTCTTTACTAAAGTGTTACTGTCTTCCATAGCCATACATTGGCCTTACTGTACTATTTTGTAGTATGGCAGCACAAATCAATAAGTTAACCTTTTTTCTGTGTGTGAATGTATGGCTGCTAGGCATAATGACTAAAAATTCTAAAAATATAAACATGCAACTCAGAATTCCAGCACAACATTCCTACACTCATTTTATTATTAGTTTATCACAAGCATTTTTAAGTCATTTTAATCAAGCAAATAAAAGGAACTTAAAAAAAGGGATATAACAAATCAGCCACAGAGAAAAAAGACGAGCATATATTTTCAAAATTCTTTCAACTCAATAATAACTGCAAAACAAGAATAAGCAGCATCCATATAGCTCTCAAGTAAGTATGTCATCAGTTCCTAACTGCCCAGAGCCCCAACTTCCACCTGCTCCACATGGATGAAAAAGTAAGGTAGCCAAGAGTTTAAACTTATTTGTAGTCTTCTTTGAACTCATGATACTGATATAATTATGTACTGGCATTAATTGTTTCCTATTCACCTACATAGCATTCACATACGTGTATCCTGCATGCTTTTGTGCCATACAAAATCTATAAAATGTCTTCTGTGCCATATAACATAGTCACTTCAACCTGCAAATCTGTTATTTCACTTTTATCATTTTTTTTCCTTTTTAAACTTGGAAATAAATCTATAGGCTGCAGGGGTTCTATCTCTCTCATATGTCAGGATTAGGAGAGATAATACCAGATAAAGATGTCCCAATAGAAGTAGTGCTGGCAGCAGTAATTACCAAGCAGTTATACCCAAATGCAGAGGAGTTTTGGAAGAGAATTGAGATATTCCTGGATTATTCAGATATTAGGTCTAATAATGGCTAATACAGATATAATTATTCAAATTTGTCATAATAATATCCAAATATTTAACCTTCTTCTCAGTTTGTATTGTTTCTGAATTATAGATCATTGTCACCCATTTTATAAAATTCTCTCCAAAATTTTTATCTTCTAAAACTTTATACAGAAAAGATTTTGAAGATTAATATACAATTGAAACCAGAGGCTGGGGACTGATGGATAAATACTGTATATGCCGGCGTATTAGGCGACCCGGCGTATAAGATGACCCCCGTCTTTATTGCCGAGCCGCATTCCTAGAACGTCGTCTTATACGCCGGAAACTACCAGTATTTCCGGCATATAAGACGACCCCTGTCTTTGGCGCCGAGTTTAGCGCTTCTGGAAGTCGTCTCATACGCCGGCATATATGGTAGCTGGAAAAGTCATGTAACTATGTTTTATATATATATAAAATTTTAGTGCGATTATATAGAGCAGCATGGTGGCCTAGAAGTGAAGACACTCGCCTCCTACTCAGAAGGTTGAGAGTTCAATCCTAGGTAGTGGGAAAGGTTTCTCTCCTAGAAACACAAAGCTCAAAGAAAAAAAAATCTGCAAACTCCCCGTCGGCGTCAGGAAGGACATCCCGCCAGTATACACTCAGCTCCATCCAGTTGCCCCAACTCTACCCCGAATAGAGTCTACAGAGTCATAAAAAGGAAGTTTTAAAAAGTAAATTATTAATATGTTCAAAAGTGGAAAGGTTTAGTACTGCCCATAATGCAGGAATAGTTGGAAAAGATAATAAAACTTGCAGAAATGGCTAAATTAATTTCTTTCATTAGAGAAAAGACAATATCTACATTTGTTTCTGAGTGGAAACCCCCTATAGAGTTTTTGTATGGAACAGAAAAAAAATGAACTTTTGATCTATGGTTTTGATGCTTAGAAAACATTGGATAATAGAAAAGGAAAGCTTTATTTGTAAACATAGAGGCAATTTTGTAATCATCAGGTAGTCCTCAACTTACACACAAAATTAAGCCCAAAATTTCTGTTGCAAGTGACATAATTGTTAAGCAGGTTTTGTTATGTTTTGTGACCTTTATTGCAATTGATAAGTTAATAACTTGATTTTTTAAGTGAATCTGGCTTCCCCATTGACTTTGCTTGTCAGAAAGTTTTCAAAAGGGGATCACCTGGCCCCGGACACTGCAACCATCATAAATACATGCCAGTTGCCAAGCGTCCAAAGTTTGATCACATGCCCATGGGGATGCTACAGTGGTCGTAAGTGTGAAAAGTGATCATAAGTCATTTTTTTCAGTGCTATTGTAACTTTCAAAGATCATTAAACAAATGTTTGTAAGTTGAAGATTACCTGTACTTGGATTTGCTACAAAGAAGATTAAAAGTCTCTTCTTTCTAATTATTTTTATCTTTTTTTGCACTTTTTCTTTTTCCTTTTTTCTCTTTACTTTATATTAGTTTTTGATAGTTTTTTCAGACTTTTGGGAAGAGTGCCTAGATTTGCAAAGATTTTCCCAGCCTCTATTAACCATGGACATATTCATTTTTTGATTTGTTTTAATGCTTAGTTTTTGATCCTTATGTTGTACTGGCTTGGATGGACGGACGGATGGATCGATGGACAGAGAGAGAAAGGGATGGATAGATAGATAGATAGATAGATAGATAGATAGATAGATAGATAGATAGATAGATAGATAGATAGATATCCAGAGATTCTGGCACACAGAAACAAATGAAAATTTACAACATTTGTAGTTTATTTTTTCTGAATGTAAACACTACTGATACTGATATCTTCACATTCACATGCATATCTTTCCTGGTGGGGCTGGATTTGAGTTCTTCAAGAATCTGATTCAACATTATGGAAACACAAGCAATAGAACATAGTCAAACTAGAGTCTTGGATTTCAAGAGAGCTAATTTCAATAAACTTAGAGAGGGCTTGGGAAGGATTCCATGGATGAGAATCCTCCAGGGGAAAACAACTCAAGAAGTTTGGGAAATTTTGAAAAGCAAGATAATAGAAGCCCAGTCTAGCTCAATACCAACAAAGAGGAAAAATAACAGCTCTCAAAATAAACCAGCATGGCTGAATAAAGAACTCTCTGATAAATTGAAAGATAAAAAGGACAAGTATAGAATGTGGAAAGAGGGGCACATAACTAAATGAGAATATCAACAAATAGCCCGAGCCTGCAAAGATGAAGTGAGGAAAGCTAAGGCTCATAATGAACTAAGGCTTGCAACCAAAGTCAAAAATAACAAAAAAAGCTTCTTTCAACATGTAAAAAACAAGACAAAAGTGAAGGAATGATTGGTCCATTAGTGGGCGAAAGTAGCAAGAAGGTGACAAGCAATAGGGAGAAAGCAGAACTATTTAACTCGTTTTTTGCATCTGTCTTTACACAAAGGGAAAAAAACAGACCAACCTATCAAAAATAGTGCCATAAAAAACAGTATAGAAACACAAGTTAAGATAGGCAAGAAAATGATAAGTGAGCACCTGTCCAGCCTAGACGAGTTCAAATCGCCAGGACCAGATGGATTACACCCTGAGGTTCTCAAGGAACTGGCAGATGTGATCTCAGAACCACTGAACTATATTTTTCAAAGATCTTGGAGCACTGGGGAACTACCAGAGGACTAGAAAAGAGCTGATGTAGTTCCCATCTTCAAAAAAGGAAAAAAAAATGGATCCAGGGAATTACAGACCTGACCTCAATACCTGGGAAGATTCTGGAAAAAATAATCAAACAACGAATCAGCGAACACCTAGAGGCAAACAAAATCACTACTAAAAGCCAACATGGGTTTCTCAAAAACAGATCATGCCAGACAAACCTTATTGCATTCTTTGACCAAGTGACAAAATTAGTGGACCAGAGAAATGCTGTGGATATAATTTACTTGGACTTCAGTAAGGCATTTGATAAAGTAGATCACAACCTACTACTCGGTAAGATAGAAAAATGTGGGTTAGACAGCATTACCACCAGATGGATTCATAGCTGGCTGACCGGCCGTACTCAGCGTGTGGTCCTCAATGGAACTGCATCTACATGGAGGGAAGTGTGTAGTGGGGTGCCCCAGGGCTCTCTTCTAGGCCCAGTGTTCTTCATCAATGATTTGGACGAGGGGATAGATGGGGAACTCATCAAATTTGCGGATGACACCAAGCTGGCAGGAATAGCCAACACTCCAGAAGACAGGTTTAAGATACAGGAGGACCTGGACAGACTTGAACCCTGGGCGCTATCCAACAAAATGAAATTCAATGGTGAAAAAAGTAAGGTTCTACATTTAGGCAAGAAAAACCAAATGAACAGGTATAGTACAGGGGGTACCTTGCTCAATAGTAGTAACTGTGAGAGGGATCTCGGAGTCCTAGTGGACAATCACTTAAATATGAGCCAGCAGTGTGCTGCAGCTACCAAAAAATCCAACACAGTGCTGGGCTGCATTAACAGAGGGATAGAACCAAGATCACATGAAGTATTAATACCACTTTACAATGCCTTGGTAAGGCCACACTTGGAATACTGCATCCAGTTTTGGTCGCCACGATGTAAAAAAGATGTTGAGATTCTAGAAATAGTACAGAGAAGAGCAACAAAGATGATTAGGGGACTGGAGGCTAAAACATATAAGGAATGGTTGCTGGAATTGGGTATCTCTAGTTTAACGAAGAGAAGGAAGAGGGGGGACATGATAGCAGTGTTCCAATATCTCAGGGGCTGCCACAAAAAAAGGGAGTCAAGCTATTTTCCAAAGCACCTGACGGCAGGACAAGAAGCAACGGGTGGAAACTAATCAAGGAGAGAAGCAACCTAGAACTAAGGAGAAACTTCCTGACAGTTAGAACCAGTGCTTTTTTTCTATTAAAAAAAAAAAAAGTTCCGGAACTCACACATGTCATACAACCCGCCTTGCCTACCCTACAAGGTTCCATCCAAAAAAGGTGCCAGAACTCCATTCTGGGCGTTCTATGAGAAAAAAAGCCCTGGTTAGAACAATTAACCAATGGAACAACCTGCCTCCAGAGGTGGTGAATGCTCCAACACTGGAAGTTTTTAAGAAGAGACTGGACAGCCATTTGTCCGAAATGGTGTAGGATTTCCTGCCTGAGCAGGGGGTTGGACTCGATGACCTCCAAGGTCCCTTCCAACTTTATTACTTTATTATTATTATTATTATTATTATTATTATTATTATTATTATTATTATTATTATTATTATTAGGAAGTATTCATTCCATGTTATGGCTTCCAAGAACTACAGTTCCCAGAAACATTTATAACTTCCAGCAAGAATTGATCAGTTCTTTGAAGTTTAGCTAGTCCCAACTTAACACTTCTCTTATATCTTCTTATATTTTTTCATCAAAGAAAAAATCATATACAGTAGGAACCATTTACTGTTTTGAGAACTTTCTGTGTCTTTTTTGAACTCATGATACTGTTATAATTATATACTGGCATTAATGAACTATATATTAGTATATTAATATGCCTGTATGTACTCTGGAGAAAAATAAGAGGCAGGAGTATTGGATATGTTTACTATACCTCTAGTTGACCAAAACATTTATATATATGACAGGCAGGATGAAAATATAATTAACATAGTCTATGTGCAAATTGTTTTTATTACATGAGAAATCTCTTGGTTGCAGTAAAGTTGCTTTGTTGCTTTATAAATTTTATGAGTGTGCCACTACACTGTAAAGAACACTAGCCTTCAAGTTACATTAGGCAGTCAGTATTGGTGTCATCAGTGTTGATTTAAGAAGTTAGTTTCACTATCATATGACTGTTAAATCATTTCATCCAAACCTATTCTGGACTACAGAAATAGCCTTCCAAGATGGAAGAGAACAAGTTTACATTCACTTCTTACTGTAAAATAGATATAATAAATGACTATACAAAATAACAGCAACAAAGGTTACTAAGAAAGGGAGAACAAAACATCTAACCACATTCTTGATGTTGTGTTCGTAACAAAAGTGATTGTGAACAACATAAAGGGATTAATACCTCTGCTAACAAATTCCTATTGACCAAACGCTAGGCATATGCAGTGCTTTGGATTTTCTTTGAAACTTGTGGGAACATGAATGTGCCAGATGTTTGTAACTTATTAAAGGATTTTCCCCCTAGGATTGCATGACTGTAGTTGAGAAACCTCTGTAGCAGCCATGCAACCATAGAAAAAGTTGCAAATGCACAGACAACGGTTGCATACATGCTTTTCAATATTCCAAAGACTCCATCTGGACTGAATCCAAATTATTGCACCACTCTAGTAGATGGGGTGCAAGCCACTAGGCTGATAAGAATATAGAAGTGTATGTGAGACAGAAGCACATTTCTTACTTGTTTTCTCTAGCAGTGTTTCTGGGGTGCTGAGAGAGTATTGTTTCATCACAGCTTTTTAAATTTTCTAATTGACTCATCTGGTGTTATTTTGCTTAACATGCTGATACAAGCTAGTGGTATATTTCCAATTTAGGCATAATTTGAATATGCACTTGCTATGGGTGAGGCATTTTTGTTGTTGTTGCCTGTTTGTCAGGCTAGAAAGTAGTTGAATCAAAGCAGTCTTATTTGATTATACAGAATAGTATCCTTTGGTTTTCTGATTCCTTTTGTGTGTTTCCTTTTCAGGTAGAGCCCAATGCTACCATAGCTGAAATCAAGAATCTCTTTACCAAGTCTCGTATGTATAGAAAAATACCATCTTCGTTGTTTATCATATCTTTGTGATGGGTTTCAGTGTTGTGAGTGCAGCGCACCTTACTTTATTAATAAAATTAGCTATTGAAAACTTTTATTACATCACTTAAATGGCACATCTTTGAAAATATAATTATTTTATTTTTCTTTGATTAGAATCACTGTTCAAAGATCAATAGCTTCAGCAAATGAATTTAACTTTTTTGTCCCTTTACAGAGTTGAGAAAGAAAATTGTCTAGATTAAGAGTATTTTCCCCCTCGTGCTGGTTTATTTCTTGACCAGTTACTTTTACTTATTATGAAAGGTAAAGGAATCTGAAGCTGACAAGAGGATCTAAGATTTGTTTGTGTTTTCATCAATTTTCTAGTGCTCTCCAGATCTGTTGGGCTTCAGCTGCCATATGGCCATGTAGGTTATCTGTATAAACTTGTATAACACCTTTAAAGAAATAGTAACAGTTATGAGTGTAGTCATATACCCAATATGTATAGATTATACTGTAAAACACTATTTGGATATGTTATTCATTGATCTAGAATGAGTAATGTTTCTCTAATTTTTAAATTCTCTTTCTCATGAAAACTCTGGGGCAAAGAATTTTTTTGTCTACCTTCACATCTGTAGATTGCTCTTGAGTGCTGCCAATGGATGGTGCTAATGGTTCTGACTCATTATAAGAAAACTTTTCTTTTTCTTTTCTCAGATCCTCAATGGTATCCAGCCCGGCAGTCCCTGCGACTAGATCCCAGTAAGTCGCTGTGCTAAAATATCTCCTCTAATACTTGACTTCTCTCTTTAGGATAAGGTTTTTGGTAAAAGATATGGAAAAGAACAAAACAAAAGCTAGTATTTACTTGAATGAGATTGTATTAGAGAATAACATTGGTGTGAACATTCTGTGGCTTGGGAATTCACAAAAAGAGCCTCTTTGAAAGAAATATTTACCTACCAATAGTTAATTGCTAATTGTTTGATTCACGAATAAAGTAAGAAGATCATTAAGCATCTTTCATCTTGGGTTACTGTGCAAACGTTTGTCCTTTAGAATGTCAGGCTAACAATTTCTTCTCTGTTGTGTAGCCAAACAAGCAACTATTGTGTTTGATGTTCAAATCAGGATTCTTAGTCCCGCAAAGTTTCAGCATGATTTCTCTTTCTTCTAGAGGGAAAGTGTTTGAAGGATGAAGATATCCTTCAGAATTTGCCAGTTGGTACAACAGCAACATTGTATTTCCGGGACTTAGGTGCACAGATCAGCTGGGTGACTGTGAGTGGTATTTCAGTTCTCCTCAAGAAAACACTTCCTTGTGAATTCCCTTTGCCTTTCTACATCCTGTTTTTGTTCTGTCAGGTATTCCTCACAGAGTATGCTGGGCCCCTCCTCATTTACCTGCTCTTTTATTTCCGGGTTCCCTTCATTTATGGCTCAAGATATGGCTTCAGCTCCAGCAAGTACTCTGTTGTTCAGTGAGTATTTACAGGCCACAACAGCCATTTTACTGCTTACATTTAATTTAAACTGGAATATTTTCCACTAAGTGAATTGAGATCTTCTCCAAGGAAGGGCAGCCCCAAGCTTAATGCATTTTTCTTCCTTGCTAGGACTAGACATTTCCCTTCAAATATCTTTCTCTTGTAAAGGAAAACTTCCCTGTATTCCAACTGGCATTTCTAGAGTTGGAAGAAAAGAATTAGTCTGAATATTGAATTCCTTTTTGCATTTGGGTATTATTGAAATATCACATAAGGACATAAAGTTTTGCTCCATCAGACTAAAGGTACATTCTGTGTAATAAAATAGCCAGCTGGATGCATTTGGAAGCTCACAAATGTAGGTAGGAGTAATTGCCACCTTCTACTTACATATTCCAGTAATCAGTATTGAAAGCTCAGTGCTATGATTCAGGCAGTGGTGGGATTCAGCCAGTTCACACCACTTTGGCAGAACCGATAGCTAATTTTTTATTGCCCAGGCCCAGAATGGACTTCCGGAAGTGGCATCCACACAGAGTACCGGTTGTTCACATTTTTGAATCCCACCACTGGATTCAGGGGGTATAGTAAGTTGCTATCTATATTGATAATCATCGATATTCTGATCTTCCATAAATCTGCCCAGACCTTTTTAAAACCATGCAGATTGGGTGCTTATTGTCAGAACTCCTGATAGCAAATTCTACATATCAGCAATATGTGAAAAACTTCCTTCTATCAATCCTGAATCTCGCTGAACTTAGTTTCAATGACCTCAGCTTCTAAGATTGTGAGAGAGGGGGAAAACCGTACACTTTGGCCATATCTTGGCATGTATGATTTTATATATTGTTATCATTACTTTCATTGCAAGTGACAGCTCTAAGTGCAATAGTCTTTTCTCATAAGAGAACTCATCCGGTGCCCTAATCCAGTGGTCCTCAACTCTATCCTCTACCAGGCTGTGGCCTGATCGGAATTAGGCCGCATGAGTGGCTGGCCAGAGTATGTGCGGGCATGTTCACAGCTCAACTTGCATGAGTGGTGGGCTGGCAGCCATTCGTGTGCGTACACTCCAGCTTGCTGTTCGCGCAAGTTGAGCTGTGTGCGTGCGCCTGGCCCGCCATTTGCACAAGGTCTGCGTGCGTGCATGCCAGCCTGCCACTCACCTGGCCCAGTTCCCTTCTCTCCATCTCCCCCAAAGCTGGTTACCAAGCTGCAAAGGTTGGGGACCGCTGCCCTAATCATTTTGATTGACCTTTTATGCATTATTTCTAATTCTGTAATAGTGTTTTAAGGTGTCTTGACCAGAATTATACACAGTACTGTTGAGGATGGTCTTATCATAAGTTTGTATAAAGGTATTATTATAGTCATAGTTTTATGTTCAGTTCTCTTCCCAATAATTCCAAACACGTTATATTCTCTTTTTTCAGCAGCAATACACAGTTGTCATGTTTATTAACTCGCCACCTCCAAAGCTTCCAAAAGCTTTTCTTTTTTTATTCCCTTTCCACTCAGGTCTCTTTTAGCTAACAGTTAAAAGTTGGATTTTTTTGGGGGGGAGAGGCAACATTACTTTACACTTTTTTATACTGAACTTCTTTTGGTATTCTGAAGTATATTTACAAGATTCTTTATAACATTGGTTATAACATGGCCATTACTAATCATCTCTAATCTCAGTTGTACAGAAGTTGGAAAGCATTCCAATACTCTTCCCCCCCCTCTCTTTTTCTTCTGTCACACAAATTTAGATATATTTTTCTGCCATGTTTAAATGGAATTTCATTTGTTAAAACAGTATTGTCTGAAACAAAAAATACTCTACGCAACAGATTCATTGTTGTCCTAGAAATCCTTCCCAGCACTTACAATTCTTACATTTTAAAATGTCTTTGTAAACTTAATTCCATGTCTTAACATAGTTATTTTGAAACAACATACAGTTCATATTTGTCCTAGGGATACCCAAATATTTTACTTCTCAGTCTTAAAGCCTGTTTTATTCTTCAGTTCTGTTTGATGTTCTATTTTCATGTTTTTGTTAACGTCTTCTATTTGTTCATCTGAACAAATGTCTGAAATGGTATAGGATTTCCTGCCTAAGCAGGGTGTTGGACTAGATGACCTCCAAGGTCCCTTCCAACTTTACTATTATTATTATTATCTTAAATCTTGCACCATTTTTTTAGTTTTCCCATTAATGTTTCAACTCCCTTTAAAGGCTATTTCAAAAGCCAGTCATCTGCAAAAACCATTTACTTTAAAAAAAAAAAATAAAAGTTTTTTTTTTAATTTTATACCTACAACCTTTTCATCTTGTCATTTCTATTCAGTACCAAAATAACCAGAATCAAAATAAGTAAGAGAGGACAGTGGACATCCCTTTCTTGTTCCTTTTTTGTATCTTACAAGACTTTGTTAGATCTCCATTAACATTTACTTATCCCAAGCTGAACGCTCCTTACATCTTGTTGGCGTTCCCATCAGAATCATGTGAAAAGTTTTCTCACCAGCTTTTTGATATTAGGTACCAGAATTTTGATACTGTTCTGATTCTGGTTTTGTACAGACTTGGTTTTGTACAAGTTAAAGGTTTTCTCATTATTTTACAAATCCAAGCTGCTCCTCTTGACATTATTATGTCATCCCTGCATTATAATGACTTAATTCTGTTTGCCTATTTGGCAATCCATGTAAAACAAATAACTTTTCCAAGAGAGTCATTTCAGCAGTCTTCAATGTCAACATCTTGCTCAGCAACCTAAATTTGGTTTTCAGGCCTGCCTGCCTACTTTTCTTCACATTGTTAGTACTAACGTGCATCCCATCTACTGGGTCTAGTCCATCTATCTAGATAGCACGAGATGTCTGCATCTTCACAGTGGGAGGACAAGTCCCCATATGGTTGGCAAGCCTGTTCCACTTCTATTTGTCTAAGGATGAGGGAAATATAATAATAGGATAGCTCAATAATAGAACAGAATAATTAATAATAGTTCTTCACTACTAGAAGCATTCTCCATGAGGCAATATATGTGTTCAGTCACAAAGAGTGGGTTCTTTCTTAAACTTTCTTTCCTTTTCCATGGGTGGAGTTCCTCCTACCCTAAAGGAGTTTTATTTTTCTGTAATTAATGAGGAATCATGGTTGGGATAAGATGCACCATCATCCTTGAAGGCCTCTGCTGCTTACTCTCTCTGTCTATCTTAGCTTCTCCAGCTCAGTTACTTGAAAACTGTCTTTTCCATTGAGTTCCTATTGATCCCATGACATGGCCAAAATAATAAAAACCCTTCATAGCATAAGGCAAGTATTTGAGAGATCACCTGTCTCCAATTATACCCACCCATCCCATCATACCCAGCAGGAGAGAGATGTTAAAAATCCTGTCTATGAGGGAATATCATTTCCCAGGGCCCAAGAAGAGGACCTTTAGAACATTATCCCCCAGAGATTAGATTTGCTCCAACCCAGCTAGCCTTATGTAAAATCTTAAAACAGGCCTGGGCATTTTACGGCCCGCAGGCGTCCAGTGTGAAGCAGTGGTGTCAGGTGGGACACAATAGCAGAGGCAGGATGATGGGAGCAGGGCAGTGGGGACTGGGGCAGCAGCAGGTAGCAGTGCAGCAATAGCAGGAGGTTGGGCGGTGACAGCCCTCCACAAGAGTCCCAGTTTCTCATGTGACCCCTTGGGGAAATTAATTGTGCACCCCTGCCTTAAAGTCATGGTTGAGTCACCATTGGGAAGCTGGATGTGTTCCAAAGTTTATGCAGTGCTTGTGCTTGTTTGTTTGTTGATTGGTTATTTAGGTTTTTACCTGAACTGCTGATTATTTTTTAAAAAATAATTAGGTATTTTTATTGTTATGTATAGTTATGTAGTGCTTTTATGTGCTACTAGCAACTTAGAATGAAAAGTTTGAGATGGGTGGCCATATAAATGTAAATAATAAATAGATTTAACTACCATAACTTTGGAAATGTGGATACACCTTATCCTTTGGCTGATGATAATCAAATGCAGTAGAATAGTATCTATATATTTTTGGGGGTAAGATAATGATTCTATTGTTAGCCATCTCTGTTTTCCTTTCTTTTCTAGCCTGGCTTGCATTTGTCACTCTTTCCATTACGTCAAGCGCCTCCTCGAGACCCTTTTTGTCCACAGATTCTCCCATGGAACAATGCCTTTACGTAACATCTTCAAGGTAATGACATTTTCAAGCAACATAGCTGTAGACTAAAAACTGCCCTCCTTATCTGCTGGGTCTCTTCATGGAGCAATGAAACTGATGCAGTCAGCAAGTCCTTTTTTTGATATACTATTACTAGTCTATTACATCTTTAATGTGATACTTTTAATTCTTTCCTCAGAATTGCACTTACTATTGGGGCTTTGCGGCCTGGATGGCATATTACATCAATCACCCATTGTATACACCACCTGGTAAGCTAAGAAAAGAAGAATATCAGTTGATTAAAGAAGTCCATTTGATTTCTAAGAAATTGAGTGTTAAATGAAATTAATGTTTCTTTCCTTGTAATTAACCAGAAGTGTGTACTTGGATGGGGGAGGGGGGAGTCTCAGAATGGGCTTGCATAAGAAGGGGTTCTGCCTAGCTCAGGAGTCGGCAACCTTAAATACTCAAAGAGCCACTTGGACCCATTTCACACAGAAAATAAAACACTGGGAACCACAAAACTCGCACTGGAGAGGGGACCTGATTGAAGAGTTTAATTAAGAAGAAATGGAGGCTGCTGTGCATGAGTTCTCTCTCTTCCCTCCCTCTCTCTTCCCCCCCTTTTTCTCCCCCCCCCTCTCTCTCTTTCCTCTCTCTCCTCCTTCTCTCCAATCTTCTGCTCACCTGGCAAGCTGGCTTTACGCTGTTCTCCAACAAACTGACACACATTCTTATTGGCTGGCTCTCTCCTGCCCTTAGTCTGCCAGTCCTCTTCCCCCACTCAGTGTGAGTGTGTGTGTGTGTGTGTGAGAGAGAGAGAGAGAGGGGGGGGAGGCTGCTTTCTGTTGCTTTCTGCTTCCTGCGGAGACACAGCAAAGGCAGGAGCCCCACCCAATAAGCTTATCAGCTTGTCGGAGAACAGCATGAGGCCACTCTCTTTTTTACAGAGAGAGAGAGAGAGAGAAGGGACGTGCAAGTGCCCCCCCCCCTCTCTCTGCAAATGGTGGAGGAGGACAGGGAACTGCAGGAGAAGGCTCAAAGAGCCACATGTGGCTCTGGAGCCGACCCGTGGCCTAGCTAATATGCTTCTCACTGAATGAGTGCTTACATAATGATGAACTAGTCATTGAAGCGGTACAGACTTCTAGGCTTTGAGAAATGGAATAAATACATAATTGATAAGCATTCCAGCTTTCTTTTTTAAAATAAAAGTTTCTAGGCCCTTTAATTTAAAATACTAGTTTAAAAACATGTAAGCAATGTCTGGTAAAATTCTTCAGATCAGAAGCAACAGTAAATATTTATTGAGGTAGAGCAAGATTTCCAAGAGATCAAAAAGCAAGTTCTTAGTGCCTCTAATAACTTCTTGATGGAAAAATACATAAGTGTATTCTTTAGCTGAAGGACAGATCTGTATTTTTTTCTTTATCTTTCCACCTGAGGATTACTCAGATCAAGTAATGTCATGTAATCTAATTTCTCTAACCTTACTTTCTTTAAATTGACTTCTATCAGAAGGGTGGCCTCACTCATTCCCTTCCAATTTATGTAGAATTACAGTTGACATATTTTCCCTTAAAGATGCTTTCTTTTTGAGTTACTGCTGGACTTGACTCCTTTTTAAATAGTTCAAGTTTCAGTCTAGGTCTAGGGAGATCTCATTGAAATACTTTCTTGGACATCAAAGTCATTATTTTGGGCCTGTTTGTTATAAGTTAGTTATACAAATCTCACAAGTTATGAAGATGAAAAGTATGGGGAACAGGCAGCATACTGGATATGCCATATAGGACTGTGCAGAGAATACAGGATATAGTTTGATGCAAATTATTAATTAAAATATTAATTAAAATATATATGCTACCCAATCAAGATATTTCATATCAAAAGTTATTTGATATTTGAAGTTTTATACATATTCTTGTTTCATTTTTGTAGTTCACATTATAGCCTATATGTTTAAATGTGCTGCTATTTTTTATATTTTAAATAAAATAATAAGCAATAACCTTTCAACACTGCTAGGTACGATCCCCCCCCCCGTTCTATTGCTAAATTTTCTCACATTAAAGGATTCTAATGTAATGAAAGAGGGGGGGAAAATCCATATATCTATATATCCTATTATGAGCCTTTAGTAAGGAAACTTTGTCAAAGGCTTTATGAAAATACATGTATACAATATCTCTTGCATTAGCCTGGCAACATGCTTGTTGACACCTTCAAAAATGTATAGGTGAATTGTATTCTTTGTATCATTTGCTGGTTTGTTTTACCATATAATTAGTGAATGGTGAAAGGAAAAAGAAGACACTGAAGGAATTAACTAAAGGCCTTTAGTTTATCCTTGTTTTTTTCCCCTTCCTTATGAATATTAATGTGCTATTACACATATAACTGTCTAGTTGCTGTCATGAGATTCTCTTTCATTCAGTTAGAAAATCTTGAGATCTGTCATTGGGGAATGTTTTTTCTTCTAGGAACATTCTAGGCGCTCCAGTTGTAGTTACTCCAATTGTGTTTTTCTTTCTTTTTCAGCATATGGACATGAACAAGTGAAATTGGCGCTTATCATATTCCTGGTAATAATTTATAGATTCTTGAGGAATAGCCCTTTGCCTGAAAAATAGGGGATATGTAGTAGAAAATAGGCAGATGTCTCAGACAGAGCCTAGGCCAATCAAAAGTGGGAAGCTTTCCCATGCAAAGTCAAGTGTTAAAAATCAAGAAATTGTTTATCTAGAAGCAAAAGTTATGACTATCTGTTTGTGGTACACAACCAAGTCTTACGCAGATTGATAATATTGAATTTTTTACAAACCATGGTAGTTCCCTCAAATGAGGGAAAGATCAATTGCCTTTCGTAGCAGTTGAAAGAAATCTGGGAGAATGGAACTAGAACTATGTATAGTAATATATATATATATATATATATATATATATATATATATATATATATATATATATATAATGTATGTATATACATACACACACACACACACACACACACACACACACACACACAAATATACACATACTTCTCTTTCTTGGTGCATGGAAAGACCATGAAGCAGTCTGGTTTGGGAATGGATCGTGCTGCTATTGCCTGGAGATAAAGTTTTTTTTTCCCCTTACACATGTGCTCATGTTTTAAGGCCAATATGTTAGTAGGACTCTGCAGTGGTTCAAATTCAGTTCAAGAAAGGTGCTTTAGACATGCAAAAATGTGAATATAGCACTCTACTGCAAGTTTTGAAGGCAAACATCTTTTTTCTTGGACTCATCTGACTCCTGCATTAGGCAGTTCTGTGATCTCAGGAAAAAAAAAATTGACTGCTTTAAAGAATTGTAGAAAAATGCTATATTCATACCGTGTAATCTTATTTGTTGATTGTATGTATGTATAATGTATGTGATGCATTATAAAGAACGAGAAGACAAGTTCCTGCCCCAAAGAAATTCAAGGGAAACAACAAAAGGAGAAAAAAATAGGCAGGAGAAGGAAAAAAGGCAACAAATGTATTTTTAAAGTTTATTTAGTTATAGCACTGGAAAATACTGGGTCTTGAGTTTCTTGTCTCAGAGCCAGAACTTATTTTTGCACAATTGTAGAACAGCTTTATTAGTACCAGAGCTGTTAAGTTGTTCTGGGGTGATGCTGCAGAGCAAGGGACCAGAAGACATGAGTGATAAAAAAATCCCTTGTTATATTGGCACATGAAAAACTTTGTGTTTTCTTCCAAGCAAATTCTTAATATTTCTACAAATTATTTGAATGGCGGATGGGGTGAGCTCTGGGAGGTTTTTGTGCCATTATCTGGCTTCTGGTGGTGATAGTAAGCATAAAAGATCAATTCTTGCCCCTTCCCTGCTAACACTGGTTTTGTTTCCTCCTGCAGTTCTGTCAGTTTGGAAACTTTTCTATTCACATTGCTCTGCGGAATCTTCGCCCGGCTGGTGAGTACAGAGAAGGGCCAAATGGAAGTGCAGATGTCCATATTAAAAACACCCTCTGCTCTGTGGTGGGAACAGCTGAGCCTTTAAATAACAAGCCAGCCTTAGATGCCCAGAGGTAGTCACCTGACCTCTGAAAGCCAAACAAGGAACTGAAGAGAGTGCTGTCAGGTTTGGGTAGGAAGAGTTTTGCAGGTTTTTTTGGAAGTGGAGTTGAAGCTACCTCAGGCAAAACGAGAAGTTATTTTTGTTACGGGCTAAAATCATGTTAGAATCCTTCTGTATTTATCTCTCTTTTTTTTAATTCTGTGAAGTATAGAGATCCTTCTTTTTGTCACTTTTGATAAAGAGAAGGGAGACTTTTACAAGTCTGATGCTTTTCTGTAACTCTTCTGTGTAATGTTAGATGATGAGGGGTTTTTTTCGCATGCAAATTGGTTCTTTGTCTCAATAAACATTCTTTTTTTTTACAAATTTTATTTATAATACAGTTAAAAATAAACATTGGATTTAATGTGACATCCCAGTATATACATTCTTATCAGATTATTCCACTTTTTACAATCAATTCTTCATCACTACATATACATCTAAGTTTTATATACAATACTTGTTCTAAAATAACATATATTTCTATCTTAACATTCATCTTTAATCCCGACTGTCCTCTTCAAATTCCTCCAGTGGTAAAATTTATCCCAGGTTTCATAATAAACTGATCCACATTTTTCTTTTAATATCATTGTGAGCCTGTCCATTTCCGCACATGCTAATATTTTATGTATTAACTCTTCCTCTGTGGGAATTTCCTTGCTCTCCCATTTTTGCGCTAAAGCAGTGGTTCTCAACCTTTTTAATGCCGCGACCCCCAACCGGTCGTAAGTCGAGGACTACTCAACCGGTCGTAAGTCGAGGACTACTCAACTGGTGCAGCACCGTTTGCAGAATGGGACTTTTGGCGGGCTCAGCAGGGCAAAGAAAGCCTGGACAATTCCTATTGACTTTTGAAAGCCTAGAATTAGACTCTATTCAAGAGAGTCTATTCTATTGGCTTTCAAAAGCCAATAGAATAAAAGGGAGTAGTACAGCTAAGGAAAAGGGGAAAGAAATGGTGGACTGTGTTGTTTGGCGACTCCCGTGAAATGGTCGTTCGACCCCAAATGGGGTCCCGACCCACAGGTTGAGAACCACTGCGCTAAAGCAAGCGTAGCTGCAGTCAGGATGTGTAGCAGCAGATAGATTGTTCCCTTCTCGCATTTTTCTGTCGTTATTCCCAACAAGAAGAGTTTAGGTTTTAACTCTAAGTCCAGTGTTAATATATCCCTCAACCAGTTTCGTGTCCTGTTCCAATACTCACGAGTCTTTGGGCATTCCCACCACATATGGTAGTATGAACCTATTGCTGTTTTACATTTCCAGCATAGGGGTGAGATGTTTGAACCCATTTTGGCTAGCCTTATGGGTGGGAAATGCCATCTATAAAACATCTTGTAAAGATTTTCCTTATAGTCTCAATAAACATTCTTATGATTTCCTCCAGGTTCAAAGACCAGGAAGATCCCACTCCCTACGAAGAACCCATTTACATGGCTTTTCCTGCTGGTCTCTTGCCCCAATTATACCTATGAGGTATGGCTGTGTTTTAGCTTTGGAACAAATTATGGACATTTAAATCTGTATTTTGTTAATGAATTCTGCTTAACAGGAAACATACAGGTATAGTGACAGTATCTAGGCCAGGGGTAGGCAACCTTGACTCTTTTATGACTCGTGGATTTCAACTCCCAGAATTCCTGAGCCAGCCATGTTGGCTCAAGAATTCTGGGAGTTGAAGTCCACGAGTCATAAAAGAACCAAGGTTGCCTACCCCTGATCTAGGCAAATAGTCTGAAAATTGTGACTTTTACCTGTCTTTTAATTGAATGATTAATTCTTGTTGCTCAAAAGCTTCCTCCACCCTTGACTTAAATTAAAATTTCCTGACAGATGGAAATCTAGTTTCATCTTGAATCATCCAGCAAAGTGAACCTTACTTATTCTCTCAGTAATTAGTTTCACTGCTGACTTATTCTTTCAGATAAGCACTTTTTTCAACTAGAATATTCATTCATTCTTGTAATTTAAAATCATTATTTTGTGTCCTAGAATGATAGTAGGCTGCGATCTTGTATATGATAATCTTTCAAATATTTGAAGGAAGATATGATAGTATACTTGTCTTCTCCTCTCAAAGTTAAAATTTCTCAGTTTCTTCAAATCCTTACTATATAACTTTGTTTTAGTCCCTTGATCGTGCTTCTTACATTTCTTTGAACCTGTTACAGTTTCTCTAAATGCTTTGTAAAGCATAATACCCAAAACTGACTTAAGTAAGACATTTGATACATTAGACACAGCCTACTTCTTGGTAAGATAGAACAGTGTGGGATAGACACCACCACTACCAGATGGATTTGCAGTTGGCTGACTAAACACTCTCAGCGTGTGGTCCTCAATGGAAATACATCTATGTGGAGGGAAGCACGCAAAGGGGTACCTTAAGGTTCTGTCTTAGGCCTAATGCTCTTCAACATCTTCGTAAATCATCTTCAGCTGCCCAGCTGCACTCATCAAATTTGCAGATGACACCAAGTTGGGAGGGAATTGTTAACACTTTGGAAGATAGGTTCAAGATTCCAGATCTTGACAGACTTGAGCATTGGGCTCCATCCAACAAGCTGCAGTTCAGTGATGAGAAATGCATGATCCTGCACTTAATCAGAAAGAACCAAATCACAGATACAGGATAGCCAGTAATAGGCTCAATAGTATTAACTATGAGAGGGATTTAGTGTCCTAGTGGATCACTGCTTAAGTATGAGTCAACAGCGTGCTGCAGTTGCCCCCCCCCCCCAAAAATAGTCAATGTTCTAGGTTGCATCAATAGAGGGATTGCATCAAGATTGTGGGAATTGATAGTACCTCTCTCTACTGCACTAGTGAGGCCAAATTTGGACTACTATGTCTAGTTGTGGTCAATAGCATACGAAAAAGATACTGAAGCCCTAGAAAGAGTACAGAGAAGAGCAACAGAGGTGATAAGGGGTCTGGAGGTTAAATGGCTAAGGGAGATCGGTATGTTTAGCCTAACAAAGAGAAGGCTTAGGCATGACATGATTAACAGTCTTCCAATACTTGAAGGACTGTCAGTGGAAAGAGGGGGTTAATTTATTCTTCATAGTACCTGAGGGCAGGACAAGAAGCAATGGATAAAAGCTTGTCAAGAGGGAAATCCAACTTGAAAATAAGGAGGAATTTCCTGCAGTGAGAATCAATGGAACAGTTTGCCCCCCAGAGTTGTGAGTGTTGCATTGCTGGAGGTATTCAAGAAAAGATCGGACAACTATTTGTCCTTAGACAAGGGTTTGAGCTAGAAGAGCTCTAAGGATGCTGTTCCATCCCTGTGATTCTATGTTTTATAAATTGGATATAGTGAAGTCTGACTAAGTAAAATGGAAATTATATTTCTTTAATTATTGATTTTGACAATTGATTTTGTCCATTTTGCACCCACCTCATACTCATGAGCAGAAACTATTCATTTTTGCAACCTATTGAGATTGTTTCAAATTTATTAAGTTACCCAAGTAATTTAAAAAATGGAAGAGTAAAGAGAGCCCAGGAGCCCATTTTGGACCCCTTTAAATGTATCATTCTGGTTTAAAGAGAAACCATAGATGGTTCTTTGAAGTTGTTTTTTGAGAAGCTGTGTATCCACTTGTCACCTCATCCCTTTCACACTTAACTATCTTGATAATCAGAATGTCATGGGATACTCTGTCAAAAGACTTTGCTAAAGTCAAGATACATTAAATCTATAAGATTCCCAGATTGGCTAAGGAAATTACCCAATAAAAGAATGAGTGTGATGAAACTTGTTCTTACCAAATTCACGCTAGTGCCTTTTAATTATTTTAATTACCTTGTTTGCAATGTATTTTTGGATTAATCTCTTTAAGATCAGCTCTCAAGTCTTCCCACCTATTAGATTAGTGTGTAATCCCTTGGATCCTTTCCCCTGTTCCTGAAATAGGAACATATCTGAGTCATTAAGTCTTATGTCATCTATTCTCTAGAATTTCTGAGTTCAGTCAATCCACCAGCAACATTTTTCAGGTCCAAATATGTTGCATTTTAGGGAATATGAAAGGTATATTCATTTGAAATGAATAGATATTGAATAGATATAGATATATGAATTGTTGTTGTTGTTAATTGTGAAGTCGTGTCCGACCCATCGCGACCCCATGGACAACATTCCACCAGGTCTTCCTGTCTTCTACCATCTTCTGGAGTCCATTTAAGTTCACACCTACTGCTTCAGTGACTCCATCCAGCCATCTCATTCTCTGTCGTCCCCTTCTTCTATTGCCCTCAATCTTTCCCAGCATTAGGCCCTTCTCCAGTGAGTCCTTCCTTCTCATTAGGTGGCCAAAGTATTTGAGTTTCAACTTCAGGATCTGGCCTTCTAAAGAGCAGTCGGGGTTGATCTCTTCTAGGACTGACCGGTTTGAACGCCTTGCAGTCCAAGGGACTCGCAGGAGTCTTCTCCAGCACCATAGTTCAAAGGCCTCAATTTTTTGGCGCTCAGCCTTTCTTATGGTCCAACTTTCACAGCCATACATTGCAACTGGGAAAACCATGGCCTGGACTATACGCACTTTTGTTGGCAGGGTGATGTCTCTGCTTTTTAGTATGCTGTCTAGATTTGCCATAGCTTTCCTCCCCAGGAGCAAGTGTCTTTTAATTTTTTGGCTGCAGTCCCCATCTGAGGTGATCTTTGAGCCCAGAAAAATAAAATCTGTCACTATGAATAGACAATATATTTGTCAGTCTCAAGCCTCAGTCCTCTTTGTTCGTGTTGTCTTTACATTTACCAGTGGAATACACATAACTTTTTTCTGGGGAAAATAGAGACAAAACAGGAGCTGAGTAATAGTTGGCTTTTTTCCATTTTCACTGAAAAGCTGATTTTGTTCTCCAATGTCTCCTTCTTCTTCATTGTTTTTGATTTTGAACAGCCCTTCAATTGCTATATTCTAATATGTGATTGATGCCAGTAAGTCTGTGCTATATTTATTTAATCACATTTTTCTTCTAGTACTAGGACTCATGTGGCTCATTTTCTAGATTTCTGTGCATTAGTGCACAGGTAGTAAAAGCTATGAGGCATTATCATTTCTGATGTGAATCTGATTTATCCTACCAGTTTAATGTAGTAGTTAAGGCATCAAACTAGAAACCGGGAGATTGTGAGTTATAGTCCTGCCTTGGCACAAAACCAGTGGGTGATCTTGGGTCAGTCACTTTCTCTCAGCCCTAGAAAAAAGGCATTGGCTAACCATTTTTTAAAACCGGTTAGGCGGTTGTCCAGGAAGTTTCTGAGAACAGGACAAAATTGAATGGAAGAAAATAAATTATATCAATGTTTTACACCCTCTGCAGTGTGTACATTTTTATCTTAGGTTGTCATTTCTAATACCCATAGGATTCAGTTTAAATCCATACTGATGAATTTTGCTTTGTTTCAACCAAATGTATTTGGTCTGATACAGTGTATATCATATCAATAGTCTGTCAACTTGTCAAATGAGCATGGCTGTGGCTATCTTCCTTATTCATTTTTGATTGACACACTGAAAGGGAGGGGGGATTGCCAGGTGCTTCGCTGGTTTAAATAAACTTTTGTCCCATGGGAACCAAGATCATCAGTTGCTCCCTAGACTGAAAAGCCTGCCATGAAGATGTGTTGGGGAACATAGTTGCTTGCATAGCCTTAGGGGTGGGATTTCTTAACTTTGTATTCAGACTTGGTTTCACTTTTGACATGCTGATACTTTGTAGCTAATATGTTCTTTGAGGAATTTGCAAACCTTGGAGTTCTGTTTTGTCTCTGTCTGTCGGAACCATAACACAGTCAGTGACCCAGACAATTCAGCTCACGGTCCCTGAAAAGCAAATCTCTCCTATCGGCATGAATTAAATCACTATCATGGTCCCATGGTCTTGAGCATTTTGCTTTGATTTTCATTGTGACATTAGGATTTGTTTGTAACAGTACCATTTGTGCTCACGTGTATTAGGAGGAAGAGATAACTGTCAGTGGACTTGACAGTGACTGGAAGTAATTCTGTCACACATCTCTGTTCACTCAACATACTCTTACTGTACACGATGGCATTCATCACGCTTTACAAGTCAGCGTGTATCAGTACAAGGCGTATATTTTATTTGTATTATTTGTGTGCGCTTTGTCTTGTGTACATAGTTTGCCAAATTTAGATATTTAATAACATATCCCACTAAATTAGCAGACTCAAGGTACCTTGTAATAATCTCAAATCAATAACTATAAAATAATATTAAAAGTTAAGTTCATATACTAAAAATGACCTTGGAACTTCTTGTTAAACTCTCATTTCTTGTATATTTTTCTCACTCTGGTTTTGCAGAGTGGTTTCATGAGTGCTAAGACTAGTACCTATCCCTGAGCTAAGAATGTAGAATGTGTACTACAAAATCTTCAGGCCTGTTCTGTACTCACATGAACATTGCTATTTGCTTTTTGAACTGAGAGTAGGATAGGTACTTTCTTCTACTTACAGACTAATATGCCCTGTAGATGGGCTAGAAAGTTTATGGGAAAGTTTTCAGTACATGTACAGAAACACAGTCAGGATTTGTGCACGAGTTGGGTCTTCATCCTTCATAGTAGGATGGTGCTGTATGTTTACTCTAGCTGAAGAATGCAGTGCTCAAGCCTACCAAGCCTTAATATTTTCCTTGACATAGTCTTGATGTTTTCTTTTCCAGGTAGGGTCTTGGATTGGCTTTGCCATCATGACTCAGTGCCTTCCAGGTAAGTCCTTGTAATAGGTTAGAGCTTTGCTGTAGTCACTTTTAATAAGGATTTTATTAAGCAATGTTTATGAAGTACCATTACGTGTTTTTATTTTTTTCTGGCCCTTCCCAATTTTTCTGTTAGAACTGTTCTTTATTGCCAAGTAGATTAGGGTCTATGAATTTAAAACGGGAGAGATATTTTGTGCCTTTCAGCGAAGAAAGTGCCAACATAAGATTACGAGAGCTCAGTAAATTACAGCTTCTGTCTCACAGTAAGCTTCATCCCTTTACTTAGGGAAGCCAGCAGCTATGCACTCTCCTACTTGGTCTCTTCATTGTCTTTATTTTGTTTTACCAGTGCACACATAGGAGTTGAAGATGTTCTCATGCATTATGTAGTGTAGGAGATAATGGTACTAAATGAAAGAGGCTGCCTCTTGCTGGGTTAGTAATCCTGAGGACTTACCTCCTGTTTTACAAAATCTACTTTCCATTTGTTAGGGATGCTTTAGCTCTGGAGTATTAAACAGCGGGCAAAATTAGATAGCATTCGCCAAGACAAGTATCCAGTTTAATATATTAAAGATCCTTGGTATTATTTTCTATTTCTGTAGTCTCTTTTTTAAAAGACGTAATACATTTGGGAAAGGAGTCAATGTTAATTAAAAAAAAAATTCCAGAGGGAAAATGCTTTTCTGAACACCTAATAACGTTTCACACTTTTATTTGTCAACAGTGGCTCTGTTTTCCTTGGTTGGATTTATTCAAATGACCATTTGGGCAAAGGGAAAACACCGAAGTTACCTGAAGGAGTTCCGAGATTACCCGCCACTACGTTCACCTATCGTCCCTTTTCTGCTCTAAGCCTCTTTCTGCACTAAGATATCAAACTGGGCTGGTAGCTTCATTTTTTATCTTCTTGAGCAGCTAACATTGGAGTCTAAAACAGGAGGATTTTTTCACTGTCCATATTGGGTTTTGAGAGGGGTTTATTGGAATTCCTTCCTTTTTAAAGTTCCTCCATCATCTTTTTCCTTTGTCCCTATTCCAAAATTACATTTGACTTAGAACAACACCTCCCTACAGTTACTATGAAGCCAAACACTGCAGCAAGAACAGAGGGAACAATGCAGTTTTACAGGGGGGGGGGAGGAATTGAACAGCTGCTAGACATATCTGTAAGAGCAGGTACCATAAATGGAGCCTAGGCAGCTGGACTTTGGCCAAATGTGAGGCTGTAAAATAGCAATCTTAACTCCAGTCCTTATTAATAATAATTTTAGAAAAATTGTTCACTACATTTGTGCAGCACTTTGGATTTGAAAGCAGAAAAATACCTTGAAACACATGGTGCCATTCCTAAACCAGGAAAAGGCATGGCTGCTTTAAGAAGTTGCAGACTGATGCAGTGATCATGGCCCTGTGTGGTATGGAACATTGTTTTGCATTTGCATTTGTATTCAAAGCACAGCACAGCCTATTAATTCAGTTGTGGGCATTCTCCTAGTAGTAAATATTATCGCTATTATTTTTTGTACTGCAGAATGATGCTTGGTACTAAAAACTGTAATATTTTTTCTGGAGGGAAATAAACTAAGATCAGTGGCAATGCTAACTTCATCTCTTTTATAGATGGTCTTGTGCCCCTTTTTAACCCTTGTTCAATTAGTAGGCATTTGTGCTTGAAATCAAAATTGAAAATGGCTTAATTGAATGACATACATAATTTCATAAGGGTAGAACACATTATTTAATTATCCCAGCCATAAGCTAAATTATGACATGGCAAATTCCCTGCTGTGAAGCAAAGGAAAACAGTTATGATCCAGTAGTAGCTCTGGTGTTACATAGTTCTGTCCCCCATACAAATTGGCATAAATGCTTTTCCTTTTCTTAGTAGTATCTTATGAGCAGTGAACAACATCTTCCAAGTAGAAATGTATGCTTGAAGTGACTCAGTTTTGTGTGATGGTGGAGTAGTTAACTTCTATAGTTAAGAGGTTCTTGAAATGAAAGTCTAACAAATACAATACTGTGCCTAACTAGCAACACTTGTGTAACTTTCTGTAATACAGGCCCACTGAAAGATGTGTCAACATTACAAACACCATCAGGGCAACTATGGAGATATACAAGTGAAACTTTAATGTAATGGATCAGATGATGAAGGGGGAAGGTGTTTCTTCCAGTTGCCTATTAAATGGAAGAGTGATCAATACCAATGTACTTAGGTAAATGCTACAAATTGCATCATTTGAGTGACTTATTCAATTTGTATAATATATGTATAAGTGCACTGAGAAATTGGGGGGGGATGGATCCTGCTTTGACATTTATAACTATTTCTACCACTTAAGAGATAAGGAAATGCCTATTATTCCTCCTATAGAAAATATTCAGTGTTACAGAATTGAAGCATCTGAGGATTGGACCGTTTTCTTGAGAGGAGGTTGTTTATTTTTCTGTTTGTCATTGTTACCAAGGTTGTGATACTGCATCCAAGTAGTCCTTGGATTATGATGGCAGCTGGGAGTGGGATTGCTATTGCTAAGCAATGTGGTTGTAAAGTGCAACATTGGATGGCCACACCGCTTAGCGACAACAATCCTGGCAGTTCCCACTTGCTGTCATTACCTCAAGACTTGCCAGTTGTGAGTGGGAAGGGGCAGGAGTTTCATGTAATGACCGGGATGGGGGAGCTGGGAGGGTTGGTGCAGGCTGTGAGTTGGAAGGGGGGAGGTGGTGGCTGGTGCAACAGACTGTGAGCACAAGAAGGTTGTGGGATACCTGTCATAGCAAGAAGGCTTGGGCGGGGGAGACTTATTAGAGTAACATTCCACCTTTCTTGCTGGCTTCCCCATTGACTTTGCATTTGGGAAGCCAGCAGGGAAGGTTGTAAATGGCAATAATCTGATGACAGGATGTTGCAATTGTGGTAATACAAGCAACTGCCAAGTCTCTAAATCATGATTGCATGACTGGAGCACCGCAAAAGCCTGAACTTCAAGGATTGGTCGTAAGTTCCACTTGTTCAGCGCCATTCTAACTTCAAATGGTTGCTGAATGAGTAGCTAATAAAGAGGACTACTTGTATGTTTAATTTGGAGGAAGCCCCATCTGAAGTAGAGTGGAACTTGCTTCGAAACAAATATGGCCACGATCAAGATGTTTGTCATAGTCTTAGGTTATGCTGCATGTGAGCAGTGATATCTGAAACCTAGGCCCCAAGGCTGCTGTTAAATGAGCCACTGACTTTTTCCTATAATCCATTTCATGTGGAACTTTATTTAAACTAACCAATAAAAAATAATCCAGCCAATGGACAGTCTCAGATCGTTTTTTTTAAAAGCATAGAATTATACATTGAAGGACTTTTTCATACATTGGGGAAGACTATAGGTAAGAGTGGACACCTCTGTTATATTTGATATAATATCATTTGGTTTGAAATTAATTGGACCAGAAACTATATAGTCTTATACAACACTGGCATCCTAACAGATTATAGTTGCATAAGGAGAATGGAATTGATCTTACTGGCTAGGAAAATTTAAAGTCAGGATTTGAGAGTCCTGTGTGATTTATGTTACAAATTGCACGTTTAGGTTGTCCACAGGATAAGGCTCCTGAGTTCAGATTTTCTCACCTCGATGTATAGAGGTGGGAGAGGGATGAGCAGAGGAATAATATGCCACAAAACATAACTCATGTGAAAAATGACGCATCAAGTAGGACTGACTATAAATACATTGAATTAAAAACTTATCACTAATGAGCTGTATTTTCAAATAAGTATTTTGAACACCTTTACTCTGTATTATCTCATGATCGGCTGTCAGCAGTGCCCAGCATAATACCATATTTCCTGGCTTTTGGAGCCTGGCCTAACTAGGGGTATTTGTTTGTTTTCCACCTTTATTATTTTTATAAATAAGGTAGCAAACATCCAACACTCCCCCCCGCCATTTTCCCCACAAGAAGCCTATGAGGTGGGTTGAACTGAGTGTGTGACTAGCCCAAAGTCATCCAGCTGGCTTTCATGGCTAAGGTAAGACTTGAACTCATGGTCTCTCATTTTCTAGCCTGGTGTTTGAACTGGTAAACCAAACTAGCTCTAGAAATATAGAATCCCTGTTGGCTCTAAAGTTTGAAAAAACAAACCTATCGAGATCATCATGGCTTAGATGAACTTAGCAGTTCAATCAGTACAAAAACCCAGGGCCCCAACCAGTCAGTTATTCTAATGTTTTAAAGCCTGAAAATCTGTACAAGGTGCCTAGTTGGATTCTGGTAACCAACCTTCACTTGCCTTGATGTTTTATCACATCTACTGTAAAGGGGTATTCAGCTGAGTCCAGTTCATACATTTCTTATTACAAGGAGTGATCCATCCTCATAGAAAGATGCCATTCATTTAAAAAAAGTCTCATTAGCTAGTGACAAATTCTTTCTGATCAAAGTATTAGAAGTGTGTGGTGACTGATTAGACAAATGAAATAGATTTTCCAGGTCAGTTCAGTAGAAGCGTTGACTATTTTGGCATTGAAATTATTTCAGTTGCTCTCTTTGCCAAGAGAGAGACACTGAATAGTAAGTACCTTATTGATTCTGCCACACTTCTTGATGGCTCCTGACCCCAGCAATCATGGTATTCTTCTGGGAGAAGTCATCTAAGCTTGATATAGGTGGAACAGCCTTAGAGTGGTTCCACTTATCCATGGATGGACATCTCCAGAAAGTATCATTAAAGGATTTCCGCTTACTCCATGATGTTAATATTATGAGGTTCCACAAGTTAATGAAGGTATACAATACAGTATGTGGATAACATATAGTACAGTGATGACACATTTTATTTCCTTTGTCACCAAAGGGAAGCATTGGAAATGATAAGTCAGTGCCTGGCTATAGAAATGGACTAGCTGAGGCCAAAAAAATAGATGCTCAGTCCAGGCAAGATAAAAGACATAGGATTCAACCTGGAAGATCTAATTCAAAGAGATGCTTCTGTATCCATCTTTGACATTACAGGCATAATTATCTTCTGTAGCACAAATGGCATGAGGCACCTTGAACAGTTCAGGCTATTATGACTGAGATAGCCTCACTATAGTAATTTATATTCTGATTTTACTAGAACTGTTCCAATGTTTCCTTCCTGGAAAGAAACAACCGTTTTAGATAAAATAATTCAATCAGGATGTACAGTCCCCAGACCTGCAATTTGGACCATGTTCTAGTATTATTTCTTACGAGGCAGAGCAATTCTTGTGTGTATAGCACAATCTATATTGAGCCGAGGTGGCGCAGCAGTTAGAGTGCAGTACTGCAGGCCACTTTAGCTGACTGTGTTCAGCACGTCAGCGGTTCAAATCTCACCGGCTCAAGGTTGACTCAGCCTTCCATCCTTCCGAGGTAGGTAAAATGAGGACCCAGATTGTTGGGGGCAATGTAAATATATATATACATTGCTTACTGGTGTACACTGCTTAGAGAGTGCTTGCACTTAAAGCGGTATATAAGTCTAATAAATAAATAAATCTACTGGCCTTTGGACTCCGGCACTCATCATTTCCAAAAATTCCAACTTCTGTAAAGGGAACTTTGCTTGTGTGTGAAGTGTAAATGCACAGAACGTATACAAACTTAAAATGTTCAAAAGCAGCTGCCTTTATCCAGAATGAAACTGAAAGCTTATGTTGCTGAATACAGAGAAAATATAAAAGTAACTAGATGGTACAGTTCCATCTGAACTTAACTAGACTCATCTCATTGGCACAATTGCCAGAACTGATAATGCAGCATTAGGATTCCCAACAAGAAAATACTTACAGATCCTTGATATTTATGAACATTTATTAGCCATAGGTCCAAGGTGTGCATTCATTCATTTCGTAGGAATCACAGTGAACATCTGAGACCCAACTGTGACATAAATGTTTTTATTGTTTTCAATATATCAAGTCCCGAAGTTTCTTTTAAGATGAGGCAGGAGAAGCACCCCAAACTAATTAGGTTTCTATGGTAACTTTCGACTGTTCTTCAATGCGCCTCTTCCTAGCCAGCAAACGTCGTTCTCGTTCAAATTCTTTCATGCGCATAACATAGCTAACACAAAGGATACAAGTATAAGTCAGTACAAATCTGTTGGCCCTACAAAACCAGGCTTTTCTTGCTGCATGTTAGTTGGCTTGCATGCTATAATTTTATTTCACATTTAAAGTATAAAACATTTTATCATTGAGGCAGATTGCTCCCCAGACTTCTACAGTCAAGGTTTTAGGGTGATATTTTTCTTAAAAGTTCTCTATGCGTGCTAGAGAAGAACGGATTAATTATTCATTTACGATTTACCTTCATGCTTAGACAATACAGTGATTATGGCCCTTGTCCATCAAGGCAAAGTGCTTTAAAATTAAATCAAGGTTTATCAGCATTAAGGAAAAACTACTTGGTTGTCTATCATGATCTCTTCTCTATCCACATCATGGTAGTGTTTATAATCTCCCATCCCACCCCAATACCTTATGCTACTTTTTCGAAGACTAATTGAATTTTTATGGTGGAAACAGAATACATTTCATAAAGGAATTACAGGGATATTTAGAGGCAGTACTTCTAATCCAGGGTACTTTCTAATCCCTGAAACACAGTTAATTTACAGAATGAAGAATAAAGGACAAACTATAGCAACAAATTAGACTAAAGGCATAGCTTTGACTTACTCCAGATGCTGACAGTACTTCCACTCATGATCCTCATGTTTGCACCCATTGATGGAAAAAGGATATTTGTCACGTTTGCACTTCATCCATATTATGTAATAATGGGCACAATAATCCCGGTATCTGTAAGGAATCTGGGCATCATTCATCTCTTGATGTGTTGCCACCATCACTGTAGGAGGAAACAGGAGGAGGAAAAGATGGAAAGGGAGATTAAAATCTACATGGAAGCTCTTCAAGATCAATCATGTGGGATGCTCTAACAGATGCTGCCAAAGGTGTTTTTGAAAGCATGTTCAGCAAGTTAATTTAGAGCACCTGTTCAATTAAAATTTACAGACCACATAATTCCATGAGGAATTATTGAAGAGTGTTGAGTATTATTTTGAAATCAGCTATGCAATCATTCAGCTATAATGCCATTCAGCCCAGGCTTAATCATCTTACTAATAAAAATGTCATATTTATTAAGTGCTTTCCTGTATCATGTCTCTATCACTCCCAAAAATTATTTAAGAAGTTACTCAATGAAAAAAATTGAATTAGTCTATCAAAACGTACTTGTCAAAGTCTTTATTATAATTGACTTGGATGGAAAAGCTTATATAAAACTGGGTGTGGTAGCTAATATCTTAAGAAACAAAAGCATAATTAAAAATCTTGAAGAGTTTGAGCAGTGTTTTGCAAAACTTTCTATAACTGCGATCTATTAACTAAAAATTAAGAAGCAAGGACCAAGCATTGTAAACAATGCACCTACGTTTTATTTTTGACTTTAGGAACATGGAAGTTGCCTATTTGGGGGGAAAATAAATACTGGTTATAATTGCATTTAAATATGTCTTCCTAGCCTTTTAAAATTAGGTTTTATACAAAATTTGTTTATCACCTGTTATTTTTTGTGCTCTATTCCATAACGTCATTAGCACATATTTGCTAATAAAAATGTTCATTTGCACTTCAAATGCCCTTGAATATTCACTATTGTCAGATTTCTGAATTTTAATAGTAACATTATTATATTATCACTCATTTCCTTCAATAAACTACTTGTGAATCGATGCATTGTTATGAACTAGCTGACTGATGATGAACAGCAGGAGACAGGAAAGTGAAAATAGAAGCAGCAAGTAAGCTGTGGCCTATATTAACTCCTCTGATTTCACCTACCAGACACCCGCCTGCTCCCATCTTCTGCTTGCTCATGGCCGCAGTGGGTTACAGGGCTTCCCAAGGCAAAGGACCCAGATTGTTGGGGGCAATGTAAATATATATATACATTGCTTACTGGTGTACACCGCTTAGAGAGTGCTTGCACTTAAAGCGGTATATAAGTCTCATAAATAAATAAATAAATAAATGCTCGAGAGGCGAGGACAATGCCGGCAGAACGCACCTTCAGGTGAGAAGGAGAGCAGCATGGACAGGTGGGGAAAGTCAAAATACTTTTTGCCCAGAGGGAGACTGGAAGTTTCGTCTCCGTTTCCAAGCATCCCATTTGCAAGCAGACAAAGCTTCCAGACTCCGTCATTTCTCCGTCCAGCGAAAAGTATTTGGGCGCCCATGGGGTGCTTGGAAACAGAGCGATTTGCTC